TCACCCCCCCCCCCCCCTATTTACTAGTTTAGCGACTATACTACCCCTTAAAAAGTAGGGTATAAATTATAGGGTCGTTTAGTTAGTAGACAATTATCTAAGGGGTGTTTTAGTGAGTTTTAGTTAATTATAATTTCCCAATAGCCATTCATCCTCATTCCCTGTCTACTTTCCTACTAATTCCCCATCAGGCTATCACTGTGACGGTTATGGTCACGAGGGCTGGATGTCACATGCTCGCTTAGCGAGGCGCTAGCGCGCACGACCTGTATTTAGTTCCCAGCTCTCTTGAGCTCTCCTTCTTTCCTCGTCTTTTGTCCTAAGAATAGAGTGTTAATTGTTCTGAGTTCTACCTGAAGCACGTCTGTCACAATCACCCCCTCATTCCAGGAAAATAAACCTAATCCCAACCTCTTCTCCAAAAAACCAAATCACAAAAAAGAAATCAAAAAGAAAATCCTCCAACTCCTCATTATCTCGCACACTAAAACACGTCACTTGTCACTCGTCACTTGGGACTCGTCTCGACGCCTCTTCTTATTATATCCTAGTATCCGTAATCTATATTTTATACTCCACCAGCTCCAAGTATACACGAGTATAGGATGTAAAGAAGTGTTGAGAAAAGACAAAGACCGTTTGCTTTTTATGGGGGGTGGTTACTTTTGGATGCTTAGATAGCTGTAGTTGGAAAAGTTGATGATTGAGTGGTGATTGGGTATGATTGTTACAGTAAGATTACTTGTTGTATATGGCTAGAAGGAAAGAAGCAGATATAAGCTGAAAAAAGGAGAGAAGAGGGATGAGAAGTACATTTCAGCTTCAAAGTTCAAGAAAGACCAACTATACAAGTGAAATCTAGTATCTCTACATCTAACCCCCCCAAAAACCATCATCCCTCTACCCATTCACAAAACCCAAGGAAAAAACCCACTCACCAAACCCCCCTCACACGCCCCTCTCATTCAACCTCACCCCCCTCTCCACCCCCTCCCTCACAACATTATTATGCCACCTCCACTCCTCAAGCATAAAAACATGTCCCCTCCCCTCCACAATCTCCACGCGACCAGGATTCAACATCCCAATCAACTTCCTCCCCAGCGTAACATCAATCATATTATCCCTCGTCCCATGCATCACACAAATCCGTTCGCGTCCCACGCGATCACCCAGCTCTTTTAATTGCGCCGCGCTCTTATGATGCCACCCCGCGGCAATAGCCTGGAGCACAAAGCCGAGCTTAGTAAACTCCCCTTTTCTGGCGCGCTTCTCAAGTTCCTGCGCGCAGAAGCGCTCGTAGTTCGTTGCGAAGATGGCGTAGGATCCGGAGAGGGGGAGGACGGCACCAGGCGTCGTGGAGGTGGGGACGACGGTGTCGTCTGGGGCATCTAACCACTCATCTCTGAACAGCCTCAACGCCGCGTCTTTCAGCGTCTCGTCTAATGATTTGGGGATGAACATGTTCGCCCGCGCCCAGACGTTTTCGAGCCAGGTCGTGGTGTTTTCTATGGCTGCCGCCGTGGAGATGAGGTTTAGGGAGTTGATTCTTTCTGGGATGAGGAGGGCCAGTTCTTGGGCTATCATGCCGCCCATGGAGACACCTGAGACGTCTAGGGAGCGGGGAGAGGTCCAGCCCAGGTGGTTGAGGAGGTCGACGAGGTCTTGTGCCATTTGGGAGGTGGAGTAGCGGCAGAGGGGTTTGTCGGATTTGCCCATTCCTGGGACAGTTCATTAGTAGGACTTTTCTCATTCTGTGAGATGATGGGGGACATGTATGAGAGTTCGATTGTGTGAAATGAAATCCTTCTCTGATTTTGAGAAAATGAATGAATGGAGGGGTTTCGTTTCAGACTCATGAAGCTAGTTCATCACATACATACCTCTATTATCAAAAATAAGAGACGAATACTTATCCCCCTGATCATGACCAAACTCCTTCGTCTGCCTCTGCCACGCCGTCTAATTCTCCATCATTAGCCTAATCCACACTTCTATACACCCCCCTCTCATAACCCTCACATACCTTAATAGTCCCCAACCCCATAATCCACTGCCAAAAAACAAAAGAATTAGCCATTTTACTCTCACTCAACATCTCGCTCCCTCATCCCCTCCCCATCCCCAAACCCATGCCTCCAATCACAAAAAACACAAAGCAAAAAAGAACTCACAACAAGCTTAACATCCCCCTCACCATGAACCTCCCAATCAATCATCACCGGTCCATCCCTCCCCTCCGCAGCAGGGAACCGTCCACTTTTCGTAGGCGTAAGTTCCCAGGTGGTATCGGGATACGCATCATGGTTCAGAATCTCCGCGACGGAGGGTCTGATTTTGGGGACCATTTCTCTTTCCGTCTCTTTTGCTTTTGCTTTTTCTGTTGTTTGAGGGGGGATTGTTAGATGTATTTAAGGGATAATTGGGGGTTGGAAAGGGGAGGGGAAGAGGAAGAGGAAGAGGGAGATGTACTGGACTTTTTGGGGTTGTTTATTGGTGGGAGGTAAGATTGGTGATACGGTAGATTTATATCCGGGTACGTAGAGTACATCAAGAGTACCGAACTGGCTTATCACAATGTGGCGTCACGATCTCGTGTTCGAGCCGAGGTGTGGCGGTGCGGTGGCACCAGCTGTGTCAGATAGCTGATTGGTTGATAATTACGTACCTACCTACCCTACCTCTACCCTACAAGTACTGTGGCTCAGCTCAGGTTAAGTGAATACTCCAGAGAGTCCAGTGCTGTATAACGATATCACCCCCATCAGATCCTCATATCCTTCACCATCATACCTTTTCATCCCCACACTCCCATATTCCCATATTCCCTCATCCCCTTCTCCCCTCATTCCCATAGCCAAAACCCTCAAAGTCCCAGCTCGGCCAGCTCCAAACCTCCAAACCTTCAAAACTCAAAATCGAAATCACATATGAAAACACAACGTCACGGTGGAACCATTCTCCAAGTCCTCATTTCTTTACTCACGTCACTCATCGACACCTCTCACTCAGACATCACGCCCTCACTCACTCACACATCCATCGAATTTCCGTGTCACCAAATCACCAAAAAATTGATCCTTCTCTATACAATACAATACATATCAAGAAGCTTCTCGTTCCTTTCGATCTCATTCACCACCCATCCCATCACGCTTAAACCTCGCACCCACAATCTCCAAGAACATCCCAAATCAAATCAAATACCCATCAATCCTCGGCTCGAAGGCCTGATCCTGAATCCCCCAGATGACTCCATAACAAAAACCCATTCTTCCAACCTTCCCATCATTCCTAAAACCCACACACAAACCCCCAAAAAACTTCCTCAGACCCATCGAAAAAGGAAGAAAGAGTGGAAACGAAGTGAAAAAGAGAAAAATTGAAAATGAAAAATTAAACCAATGCTAACATCTTTCCCAACAGCTTCGTATGGCTCCCAAACAACCGCCCCCTCCAAACCCGCACCCAATGGCGAACTCAACTCGTCGAAGCAATGGTATTGATAAAACACTGATACTTATCCTGCTGTGTCGCAACAGGACTCTTGGTCTTGCTGATGGCTTTTGTCACCGGTGGTGTACTATTCGTCGTAGCCCAAAGGACTTGCTCTTCCGTGTTGACGGCCTTTTCCGCTTGCACGACCTCAGTCTTTTCCTTATCCTGCGTCGCCGTGGAAGCTGGTTCCCCTTTATCCCTTGGTAACCGCATAGCAAGAAGGACATACTCCGCCCTCGTCATATTCTCCATAACATCCTCCATATACCTCCTAACCTCCTCAGGTGGCGCAACAACCCTTTGCAGCGTTTCTATGCACTTTGCCGCCGCGTAAAGACGAATGGTAATTGGTTGGTAGTAATCCAGGTTTGGATCGTAGGTCGGAGAATCACTACTACTCCCTTTACGTGCGATGAGAAAGGAAACGATGACTAGAGATTCTCGCGTGTAAGGATCCGGGGCCCTAGGTTCTAGAATACTAAATTTGGGAAAGAGATAACGGTCACCGTTTCCACCGACAAATTCAAAAACTATACCCGTAGCATCTCCTTTCGCTGGTGGTACCGGGCCCTTTGAGCGTAGGGCTTGAGGCTGCGGGACAGGTTTTGGTGGTGGTGGGGTGGGCATTGCACGGACGGTTGATGCAGGGCTTGGTCGAGATATCTGGTTGCCTTGAGGGGTTGCCGGTCCTGAAGGTGCTGGCGATTGCATCGTGGTTGGATGTGGTACTGCAGCAGCTTGTCGAGCTTTTTGTAATCGTGTTAGATCATTGATGTGACTTTGGAATTTTTGTAGCTCTTCTGGTGATGCATTTCCTTGTGCGACAATTTTCATGAGTGCTTTTAATTCGGGATTACTCGAGGCTCTTTCTGCCAGCATTTGTATGACGGGGTCTTTCTTTGCTTCCGTCATGTCAGGCCCAGCTTCAGTATTTGGGGGGTTCTGTGGTTGCCTGGGAGTCGCTTGTCCATTTTGGGGAGGTCGTGATTGCACATTTGGATGCGGGGAAGGTTGCAAGCTGTTTGGCGTAGGGGCGGGGCCCATCGTAGTCTTGAATGTCTCTGCACCACTAGTCGAGGGTTTCACGGATGGTTGTGGTATATGGAATTGGCTTTGTTGTGGAGGAGGGGTAGGCGCTGGAGGAGGCATCATGCCATTTGGAGGCCCATATTGAATCACTGGCGGACGAGCCATAGGAGTATCTTTTATGAACACTGGTTGATTTGGATCCTTCACCGTATACATGATGGCCTCGAAAGCGTGTGGTTCTACCACTATCGTACATGGTCCCAACTTGGTCATTGTGTCCTTGGAGGGATTGTTTGGAGGTTCTTCCCATCCTTTCTTCTTTAGAGTCTTGGTCCAGTATTTCTCGAATATGCCTTCGGTGATCCATTTCTGCCGTGATCGTTGGAGGGAGTCTAATAGAACGCCGCTGTCACCAATATCGAGTCAGTGTGCAATTCACGTATACAAGACTCCAGCAGTTGGAGATAGTGCTCGAGCGAGAGCTTACCTCTCGGAGACGGACTGGAAGTCCTTCGAAGACAGGTTATTCGGCTGTGGCTCGTCGACGGTGGGTAATGGTTGGCCGGGTGCGATAGACTTGGGCAGAGTCTCCTTCTCTTCCACGACGGGCGAGGGAGCTGCTACGACTGGTGTTGGAGTTTGTCGCTGTTCTGGGGTATTGGATGTCGATGCGGATGCCGCTCGTTTCTTGCTGGCCGGCTCCGCTCTGGTTCCGCGCGAGGGAAGTGTCCTCTTTCTCCCGTCCATGATTGCAGATCCGGTGCAAGTCTGGCTGGTCGACAGCGAGATTGGTGGTGGGTGGTGACCGGACGACGCGTTTTCGCTTTCGTTTTCGCGGTGGTGTAAAGTACCTACGCCGGCACCGCACCGCAACGCACCGCTCCCCGCTTGAGAATGTGGGTTTTTGGGAGATCAGGAACTTTTGACACAGCTCGAGTCTTGATGGCGTAGCAACACCTGCAGCCCCGTCGGGAGATTGAGTCGTGGACTTTTATCAACCCTAAGCCTTTCTCAATGTTCTAAATGTATTGCACGCCCCAAAAATGAGAATGAGAATGGGAATGGGAATGGGTGGATTGTGGAAGGTTGTGAAGGTTCGTGGATATCCGGTGGAGAGCTTAGCTCGGGTTATGGGCAAGTACGAAGTACACCTGCAAGTACCCAGCTACCTACCTAGGTAGGTAGTCAGATACCTAGGGATGAGAATATATGACACCAGCAATTGGTGGCGGTGATTTCTAGCCGATTCTCTGGTACAATTACTCCCGTATTAGTACTTCTAGGGCAACAAAAATCATGTCAACTCAATTTTTCGAACTTTTGACAGTAATTGAATAGAATGTTCACGATATTGTTGCGCAATCTACACATGTGGTGTGAAAGTTCCCTCGTAACCTTACTCATGAGATGCCCCTCCCCCTGCAACCACTGGAGCCTCTGCTTGGGAGAGTCACGTCACCTAATCTCTTTCTCTCCAAACTTATCCCTCAAACCTATTCGGGAGGGTTAGTGAGACTTCAATCTATTCTGACCACTTTTAGGCCGTCTGCAGCGTCTCCGTCGCATCTTTTCCAGTAAGGTTAAGCCCTCGTTTCTGACCACACTCATAACCCGGAGTTTGCCGTGGATGTTGACCTAACATGTTGCATTCAGTCGCTAGTGTCCGTTGAGATGCCATCTCCAGCTATTGCACCCATATTCAAAAAAGCCTACTGGACTCTGCTACTCGGGACTTTATTCTACATACTTGCTCTCATATCCTTCACAAATCCCTGGTTGCAAAGACAGTAAATCCCCAGCGTCAAAGTTTCATCATGATGACAAGAGGCTAACTCGGAATAGCATCTTGTACTGCCACAAGTTCCACACAGCATGGTGGCAGGATATTAGCAAACCGGAACAATGGGGATTTGCTAGTACGTCTCTCACCACCTTTCTTTTTTATGGGTCCACATTCTGACAAGAGGAAGAAAACCAAATCACCCCATTCAATTTCACGACGCCGGATAATGAGGTGTTGTATGCGTGGCATGTTATGCCCTTAGGGTTATATGCTAAGCATGAGGCTGCTATATTGAATCAACCATCCGGAGAAGAGATCACCCGCACGAAAGCGTTCCAGCTTTTACGTGATGATCCGGATTCCAGGCTGATTGTAAACTGTATGTTATTTTCACTATTATTTCTTTCTCTTGTTCACCTGTTCATCTGCTTATATATCTTAGTCCACGGGGTATTTACATCTCCTTCTTTCCGAATGTGTATATCAACACATCACTAACCACCTCGAAAGAACGCCGGCACCGTAGCCCAAGGCTGGCGAACCGACAGCTACCGTTCTCTATCCGATGGAAGCACATCCAAGATTCACATCCTCGGCCTGGACTACCGCGGCTTCGGTCACTCCACAGGGACACCCACCGAATCAGGCCTCATAATCGACGGCATCGCAGCCGTAGACTGGGCCTTGAACATCGCCAAAGTCCCATCCGATAGAATCGTCATTCTAGGTCATAGTCTAGGCACAGCAGTAAGTACCGCCGTCGCAGAACACTACGCACTGAAATCCATCGAGTTCGCGGGCGTGGTCTTGATCTCTGGATTTACGTCTATCCCCGAACTGCTTCCTGATTATGCTATCGCTGGACTCCTTCCTGTCTTATCGCCATTGAAGAGATCTCCAGCTTTGCTCAAAATATTCAACAATTTTGTCGTTGATACCTGGCCCACTGCCACACGTCTCGCAAACTTTGTGCGTGTGAGTAAGAAATTACGGCTTTTCATCTTGCACGCGAAGGATGACTATGATATCCCATGGTTCCACTCTGATGGCTTATTCGCTGCTGCTGCTAATGCTACGACGGACGGTGGAATGGAAATCTCACTACTGAAGAGTATGAAGAAGAGGAATACGATTGAGATGGGGGATGGAGCTTCTATCGGTACCTGGAAAGATGGGGAGGATAAGATTATACGAGAGGAAATTGTGGCGTATGGTGGTGAGTACTTTACTTCCTATCTGCCCTACTCTTTTGTGTTGTTGATGGAGATTAATGGTTTTGTAGAACATAATCGGGTTTTGACGTATGCGACCGTTTCTCTAGCTGCGTTGAAGGCGTTTGGACTTGATGAAGGTGGCGTTTTGCCGGTGTAGAGTGTAGAGATAGCTTTTGGAGTTTGGATTAATCTTACTCGAGTAGAGAGATGGATTGTTGTTCGTTTACTTGTACTACCTATGTTATTGTGCAAGTATCCCTTACTTCTTCCTTCCACCATCTTATGCCACTTTACAACTTCAGTATAGTGTGACGCGCGTCAAATGCTGCATCCATAAGGACCCTACCTAGGTATTCGTTTTTGACCATTCTCCTTCATTGGCGTATGATTTTTGAAGTGGTTTTGAGCTGGTTCCCTAGCGCATCCACACGATGTACTTACGTGTATAAGACAGAGGAAGCAGGAAAAGGTACCGTTTATTTGTATTAATATACAGATACACATTCATTCTCCAATTGTAAATTTACAAGTAAACATGCAAGAATTTGATGTGCTTCTGGGACAGTAATTTCGAGAGCTACGCACGAGCCAATCACATCGAATGTTGAAACATGGGTACAACAACCAGAACCCCGCCATCCCACTTGAACCTCCAGCTTCACAGAATCCACCCACACCTCATCCCCAACATCCATCACCCTCCTACCTAGAAAATCCCCCACAATGGCCGACAACTCCAAACTCGAAGACAATTCCAGCTCGCGCGAAGCAGCCAAAGAGGTAATTGAAGAAAACGCAGCCACGGCGCAAGGCGACTCCGAAAGTGAAGACGAAGAAGAGGAACCCGTCGCCGAGGGAGCCCCAGCTGCCAGCTCCGCAGCAAAGAAGAAGAAGTCCAAGAGGAAGCGCATAAAGGCCGCCCTCACCAGCGCTACAGCCAAAGGCGAATCCTCAGCTTCAGCTTCTGCCGACCCAAGAGCCGACGCATCGAAAGCCATCGGGTCGCTAAGTAAAGCGCAAATCCAGGATATCCTCAAGATGAACCCTGGGCTGGCACAGGAATTGAGCGCGGGTGGTAAAGACGACGCGAAGATGGCGGAGGAGTTCAAGAAGTTGAGCTTGGAGGAGATTCTCTCGGGGTTGGCGTCGAGTGGGAAGAATGTGAAGGATATGGCGGGGTATAAGTTCTGGCAGACGCAGCCGGTGGGGAAGCTGGGGGATAAGGAGAAGATTGAGAAGGAGGGTCCGTTTAAGGAGATTGATATTGAGCAAGTGCGGAAGGAACCGTATCCTATGGCGGATGGCTTTGAGTGGGTTACGATGGATCTGTTGGATGAGGAGGAGTTGAAGGAGGTTTTTGAGTTGCTTTATGGGCATTATGTTGAGGATGATGAGGCTATGTTTCGGTTCAATTACTCGAAGTCTTTTCTTAAATGGTATGCTTTTTCTATGCAGATTTCTGATTCTGTGCTGACTAGTCCAGGGCCCTTCGTTCCCCAGGATGGAAAAGGGATTGGCATGTTGGATTACGTGCTACCCAATCCCGTAAACTCGTAGCTTTCATATCAGCTATCCCCGTCGACTTGCGAGTCCGAGATAAAGTCCTGAAGGCATCCGAAGTCAACTTTCTCGTCGTCCACAAAAAGCTTCGCTCAAAAAGACTCACTCCAGTGCTGATCAAAGAGATCACACGAAGATGCTATCTCGAAGGTGTTTTCCAAGCTATCTACACCGCCGGAGTCGTATTACCAAAACCAATCAGTACCTGCAGATACTTCCACAGATCGATAGATTGGCAGAAATTACACGATGTTGGATTCAGTCCTTTGCCGAAGGGCAGCAAACCATCATACCAAGTACGAAAATACCAATTGCCGGATCATACTGCCACAAAGGGACTACGAGCGATGGAGCATAAAGATATTGATGCTGTTCATGATTTACTTACCCGGTATCTAAGAAGATTCGACATGTCCCCTGAATTCAGCAAGGAAGAAATTGAACACTGGCTTCTTCATAAACCAAAAGAGTTTGAGGAGCAGGTCGTCTGGTCATATGTCGTAGAGGTAAGTCTCATCCCATTTTACTCTCTTACCCCAAATCAAGATCAGAATTCGGGATCGGAATCGGAATCGAAATCCATAAAAACTAACACCTCTCCCAAGGACCCTCAAACGAAATCTATCTACGACTTCTTCTCCTTCTACTGTCTCGAATCCTCCGTCATCAACAACCCAATCCACACCAACGTCCGCGCAGCCTACCTCTTCTACTACGCCACCGAAACCGTCTTCTTCCCGGATTCTTCCCGCGAAGACCTCAAGACCTGCCTCAACGCTCTCATCAATGACGCACTGATCCTCGCCAAGAAATACAAGTTCGACGTCTTCAACGCCTTGACGCTACAAGACAATGCCTTGTTCTTGGACCAGCAGAAGTTTGGTGGTGGTGATGGACAGTTGCATTATTATCTTTATAATTATAATGCTAATCCCATTGCGGGGGGTGTGGACGCGAGGAATAATGTTGATGAGGCGGGGAGTGGGGTTGGTGTTGTGATGTTGTAGTGAGACTCTGGGTCTGGGTTAAGTTGGGTCAGGTTGTGAGGAGAGTGTTGGCGGGGATGGCTGTGAGGATGGGATTTGGTTGGAATGGAAGAGTGAAGGGTAAGGGGAATGGGAATACCTAGAAACGAATGAACCGGGAAAAGCATGAATTTGCATTTGCATTAGCATTGGTATTACCTCACTGCATAACTTGAATACAGCATTCTCTCTCTCTTTGCTTGCACAAGACCAATTCTAGAGTAAGGCTGAGATTGAAAAGTTTATAAATGCTAGCTATTATTTATACTCGGATGAGAGTTTAGTTGATCCCCGAACAGGAAACTCCCGCCTTGGACTTATTTACTAAGCTAAGCGAACGTACCCCCTATTCACCAATCTATTCACAACCTCATACTATTAGAAAAAGGCGAAGTTGTAGGAGAACCATGAGGTTATATCGTGCATTCTTCAGTATAAAATCTTCAAAAGCCACAACATTCTCTATTCCACTCCTCAATACACAATCTTCGCCGGCCGAATATAACACAACTGCGGCGAATGCGCCATCTTATCCGAAGCCGCATACCCACTCAACCCCTCGGGACACGGAAAAAGTTCAAACCTCCACACAATCAACGACAACAACTGTCTCATCTGCAAATACGCCATTCTCCTCCCATAGCACCCCCTTTCACCCAGTCCAAATGTCAACATCGGTCCCGCAGCGGCATCGAACACCACCTTGCCCCCTGGGCCGGAAACCATCCATCGCTCTGGGTTGAAGGACTCCATATCTGCGTGGTTCCATACTCCGACCTTGCCTTTGGACTCTAGTCCTAACTTGGTGCGTAGCGAATCTTCGATTTTGAATTCCGGAGCAAGAAAGCTGGGGCCGTTGCCCATGAGAAAGACTTCCGTCCCTTTCGGGATGAAGTGGCCTAGGATCTCGGTGTCAACCACCGCGGTACGAACAGCTGAAGCTTCAGTCTGCGAACATCGGAAGATCTCCTCGATTACGGCGTCGCGGTAGTGAATTTGTGTTTGGGTTATCTCGTCGAAGGTCGGCATGCGTTTTTCGGCTGTTGCGTCGGCGTGGCCTGCTCGTAATTCGGAGCGGAGTTTGGATTGGATGGTGGGGTTGTCGGTGAGGTATTTGAGGGCCCAGGTTACGGATGTGGCGGTTGTGTCTTGGGCGCCGATTATGAAGCCGAGGATCTGGGGGGGTGTTAGTGGGGTTTTATAGGGGGAGGGATGAAGGGAGGAGGTGGAATGATAAGAAAATAGATGAAAAGGAGGTGATTTTGCGGTAGAAATAAACACACCTCATCCGACATCCCCTGCGACCCAAACTCAGGGGTTCTATTTTCCTTCTCGGCTAACCGCATCTCCCTCCTCACAATATCGTCCACCGCACACTTCACTTCCTTGTTCGCCGCAGAAGTGCTCTTCGCCCGCACAACAGCCTTCTCAATCTCCCTACTAATCAGCTCATTCTTATTCCGAATCGACTTCTTCAACGCCGCCGTCTGGCGTAGTAACCAATGCGACAGCACCGGCATAGGCGACTTGATACACGCCTCGACGCTATGCATCAGATTCAAAAAACTCTGTACCATCTCCGGATGCGGGGCGCGGGGTAGGACAGCTTCTTCTTCAAGACTGGACGGGAGATCGACCTCCGTGATGGTGTCGAAGAGTCGTAGTTGCGCTTTTGTATTACTATTCCCTGGATCGGCGCCAAATACAATCGGCCAGACGGCATCCATAGTCGTACAATGTACATCATGCGCCGCCGCGAACGCCCGTCCTTTCGCTAACCTCGCCTTCTGCTCCCACAACTGCAGTAAATCCTGTCCGGCCTCGTACATATACGGCGCCGCGATATCCTGCAAGAACCCCGTCGCCATGATACCCTGCACCCACTTTCTATGCTTCCTAAACTCATCATTGGTCTGCATCACAAAATGGGATTTTGATACGATCCCCCCCGAGACATCGGCGATGAACTTGGAACGGTCGAATTCTTTCGTCCGGTGCACGAGGATATCTTGCGCTTCGAGGTAGTCGGTCACGACGACGCAGGGGGGTCCGAAGGGCCGTGTGAAGAGTTGGATGATGGGCGAGTTTAAAGTCGTGTTCTGCGCGGACATCCAGGTGTGGATTTCTTGTGTGCGGGAGATGTGGGAGACCATTGAGCTAACGTCGCCGAGGAGTCGTTTGGTGGATGCTTTGTGGTAAGGGATTCCTGGGATGGGTTTTGGGAGCGCCCATTTGTAGGATAGGTAGAGGAGGGTGAGGATCCCGAAGAGGGATGTGTAGGTTGAGGGGGGAATGGAGCGGAGGAAGGAGGTGAGGGAATGGACATTTTGGTTGAGGTGGGTTTGGATTGTGGCTGCCGTGGGGAGATGTCCCAGGAGGGTGGAATTGAGTGCGTGAGCCATGAGGGTGGTGATGAATTTAGCAGTTGAAGCCAATTGAAAAAAAAGAGGAATTGAAGATAGAGGAGAATCAGAGGAGAAAATAATTTGGGTGAGGGGGAGGGAGGTTGCGGTCTACCAATGATATGGCTCTGATGTGTGTTTACACCGTTCGCACCCCTCGCTTATGTTCGCATCTGCGGGATTGTCAGGGGTTGTGGGGAAATCTGAGATAGGTATGTAGACCCGAGGTTTGGCCGGGGATATAATGAACACCCTTCTTCTACGTATGCTTTATCTATATACTGTGGGGAATCGATACAGTACAGGATATATTACGTATTCTTTAAAATGGGTTCAAGGGAAAAAACGTGGTTTTTGTATTTTGTTTACGGCTAGTATCCGGGACTACGGAATTCTAACGACCCCCCTGCCCTGGAGGAATGTTCGTTGCTAGAACATGTAACTCCAATACAGTACGCCGCTTATTACGACAACTATGAAGAAGCATTTGGCATCGTCCTAAAATGCATACCGAACTGCATATTGATCCACTCCTGCCTCCCGATAACTCGGCATCTGAATGTAGGTAGGGGTGTTTTGGGTGTAAACGGAAGCGTGCGCTCATGCCTCATGGCAATATTCGATTTACTCTGCATTTGAAGAAGGGCGTCAATATTCCCAATCAAGAGGATTCAGCTATGGATGACATGACACTTCAATAACGTAGACTTCTGTTTACTCCAAGTCTAATGTCTACCTCCTCAACCCATCACCTATCCACACACCAAAACCACCATGGCCCCCAATCCACCCTTCCCTTTCCCAGCAGTACTGCCCAATCCCGACGTCCCAATCGAAGAAACCCTATCACGATGGTCATACAGCAACGTATCCAAACCAGCCCTCCACGTCGTCCCCGAGAATGAAGGACACATTATCCAAGTACTGGAATACGCGCATTCGCACCATCTCACCATCGTGGTGGCCGGAGGCGGGAACGCTGCATTCGTGCCTATTACGAAAGATACTCTATATCTCAGTCTTGAAAAGTTCGATGGGATTGAATTGGATGAGGGGAGGCAGACGGTGACGTTTGGTGGGGGGGTAAGGGCGGGGAGTGTGTTGAGGTATCTTGCTGAGCGGGGTTTCTATACTGTGCTTCCGAGTAGTAATGCGGTGGGCATGGCGGGGTTTGTGCTTGGTGGTGGTGGGGTGAGTTGTTTTTGTTTTTGTTTTTGTTTTTGTTCCTTTTTGAGTCGGGTGGACGTAGCAAGATGGAGATGTAGATACTGAGCTGACTTGACGGGATTTGCAGCATCATTTTATCGGCCTGCATGGTTTGACGGTTGATAACGTCGTGTCCTTCCGAGTCATCACCACCGATGGAAGGGTTTTTGATCTAGACCGGGCCTCTGTGGGAGAAGAGGGGTCCCTATTCAAGGTGCTGAATGGTGCTGGTCTTGGATACGGCGTCGTTGTCTCCATCACTATGAAAGTCTATCCGCTGTCCGGTCTTAGGATGGAAAATAACCAGTTCGTCATCCGTAGACTTATATTCCCAGCCGAGGAGATAGGCGCTGCGGCCGAAGCCCTGGTTTCCTTTCAGCATCTCGATCCAAAGTTGATCGTAGCACTCGCTTGTGTCAATGCACCGCCGGGTACGCCGCCGTCTGGTACACCGTTAGTAGTCCTGGAATCCACATACTTTGGGAGCGAGCAGGAAGCAGAGAGGAAGACAGCTATCCTCTTTGAACAGCCACTCGTCGAAAAAGCGAGCATGGCGATGACGGTCAGCGAACCATTCGTGAAGCTCAACGATGCAACCCCAAACACGACTGGTGACTACAGAGACATCCACGTCGCAGCCCTCCAAGAGATCTCCAACAGTGCAATCGAAGAAGCTTTTCATCTATGGCAGACATTCACATCTGACAACAAGGATGCTAATAGGACGATGTTGGCGTTTAGTCGCTTTGACACATCCTTTTCCGAGAAAGTCAAACAACCAGGCGAATTTATTGGGACGAGAGATAGAGGGACGGCGTGTATTGCGATGACTTGCTTCTCCAAACCGGAGGTGAGGGATAAAGCTGAGGACTTTGCGGTAGCGTTTAAGGATGTCGTTAGAAGAAGCGATGGGAAGGGTGAACCTAGGACGGTGCTGAATAATATGAGGCCCCATACGAGGCTGGGTGAGATATTTGAGCAGGAGGCTTTTGTGGAGATTAGGAGGGTGAAGAGTCGGTGGGATGAGGGGGGGATGTTTTGGTGTCCTTGGTTTGGGGATATTTGAGGGTTTGAGCGAGGTTTCTAGAAATGTGACGAACTGTTATGGATGAGTACTATGGTTTAGAAAAGTGGAAAGGTTGTTTCCTAACTAATAGAAATAAATCTAGGGATATCTTCTCCTAGTGCTCTGTCTTATAAATGTAGAGTAGGTTCGCGCGAAGTAGTTTTATAGTAAGATCTATAAGTTATATACTAAAACCCATAAATTACTAGTTATTTTATGTAACTTAGCAGAAATATATACTATCTATAATCGGAAAAGAAAACTCGAGTTTTACAAAATTAGGGGTGAGCTCTTAATAACTATATTATAAGCGAATCCTAGGTAAACATACACAAGGGACGACTATATATGTTATAACTTAAGCGAAAGTTAGTACCCTATATTCGTATAAGTCGCTTCCATCCTATACTCTGCTAACTACAAATTTCTTAACGCCACGGAAGAAACATGTTATTATAGGTCAATAATGATTTCTAATTACTTTAAATCAAAGAATTAAAATAAATGAGGTATAAAATGTCATACTACTATAAACACTAATTTTCATTATGTTATCCCAGGCCAACTGCCTATAGTATGAATAAGTTGTATTGTACTCATCTTTCTTCTCTAAAAAATACCATAACAAAGGCTAAATAGACAAGAACAAATCCAACGAGTAGAAACGCGCGCATGACGCCCTTCTAGTAACACGGTTCTTCCTCGATCATCTTGAGCTCCTGCATTATGTGCCAAGCTTCCCTTGTACAAATAGGCACTACTGCGTATGCCTCATCCTCATTTGGATCTAGGGGCAGAAATATCTCAAGTGCCGTTGAAATCAGGGGAGGATTGTTTGTCTCTTCCTGGTATTTTCGTGAACATTCAATGCCGTAGCGGAGCAGGTCGGGAAGTTTGGGGAGACAATCATATCGAGCCCCGGTGAGACTGATGTATCGACCTTCCTGTGATAATGCTACAGTTTAACAGTTTAACAATTATTCGCGTGGCCATCAAATGCTTCAAACATACCTTGAATGGCTGTTGGAATTCCTTTACCGTCATTTACAAGGTCCTGCTGCATAATAGCTAGACTGCAGTTAGTTGCGTCTATTCTAGGAAACCCGACAACAGTACTAATATTAAATTACGTCCCCGCACTGACCACTTAAGAACTCTTGCAGCATCTCACAAGATGGATGTTTTTGCCTCAAATGTTCCATGTCATCCCATAGCACTGCCCGCAGTGACGGCGAATAAGCTGTCTGTCGAGACGCGTGCCTGAGCAGGGAATCGAATGTGTTGCTGTTGATCTTCCTCCCTCCGGACCACTCCCTCATAGGAAATGCCGTAGCCCACCAGAGTAACGTTGGCGGCTCCAATGTGCGCAGACGTGCAGCTCTCTCGCTCGTGCTCGCAATCTTGGTCTTCATCGAAAGGGAAGCTGCACTCCTGTTGTCCTGGATGAATATGAGCTCCAAGTTGTGCGAAAAGGATGGCGGGGCATAGCCCTTGTGCAAGGTATCCTCGACTCTGGCCTCGCCCTCCTTGAGTAGAGATAAGATCATGGTATGGAGGAATATGAGTACAGTTGGTGGTGTGTACTTCGTGTGTTGGGAATCTGGAGAAGAAGAACACAAGGGAGGTGTCGACGGTGTTGTAGGTGTTGTAGGTGTTCAGGTACCTCCATGTCTCCCCTTAGTCGTTGAGCACACATTTTATACTGTCTGGGAATGGATACATCCAAAATGCAACATGTAAGATGCAACACCCCACATGTAAGATTCAACATCCAAAGTCGAATTAACATACCCGAAAGCTTTCTCTCCTTCCTGAAGTAGATCTTACTATGATCTTCTCTCCGTGGCGACTCTGACTAAACCTCCTGTTCGCGATATGGATACCGCAATTAGACGCAGCCACATAACTATATTGATTACAACGTAGCAGTATACGAAGGGACCAATGTTCTTGTGGTTCGGAATACCGTGGTAAATCGTCCTTAAGGCGTACTGTGATACATTGATTCCAACAAGTACGCCAACGTAGCGTGGAGGGTAGAGCTCCAATTATCCGTAGGTTCCGACTGGCTCGACTAGTGGACTACTCCAACGCAGGTAGGTGCCTTCGCTTATTGTAATATCTGTGGATAAGATAAAGGACTTTTAACCAGTAGGAGCGTCTAATTCACACTTTGCCGTTCTCCACCCTACGCCAGCCCGCCGTTTCACACACAAAAATTAACCTTTTATTCAAGTGGGGGCATATACTACCGTATGGGTGGGGGGAGGGTAGTACTGGAAGTGCTTGTATGACATGCTTAGTGCACTTTAAAATGCAGTGATTGGCTATGAAAAGGTAAGTAAATAAGACACAGTAAGCAATGAAACTCTTAGTGTAGATCCGTGCTGAATCAATGAGCCAAGACTTCGTCAGCGTAGACCCACGCAGACTCTGAGTGGCTGGGGGAGTATTAGACTCATGAACCTTATCTTTTTCCCGTCGAAGCTGACCTCGGTTGGGTCTGAGCATGCGGCCCGCCCCGCCCACCCCGCACCCCGCTAACACTGCCGGCAGAAATAGGTATGATGAACGTAGAGTGTCAATTTGTATGCACTGCGCTACCTAGTCATGAAGGGCGTCTGCAAAATGCTTATTAAGATGTTTTCTACACTCCGAATCCGGCTCCCCCACTTAGAGACGGAGTTTAGCCATTTGACTGGTCAAATCCAAGCTTCCAACGGGGTCGTCAGAACTATAAACGCAGTCCTGGGTTTTGGCCGAAAACATACCGAAAACACTCTACTTGTCAAATTATAGTAAATTAGGAATAATCTAAATAACCTAAAATCAAGAATATAGATCAATAGAGTGTCTCGAATCTATATACTCTGGAATTCCAATAACAGGTACTATTCTATTATACTAAAAAACTAACAGATCTGCCAGGGCATTTACTAACGGGAAACTTTCTATTAGAATAACTTGAAATAGAAAGTTCAAGAAAACTTTCGTGCATACGCTTACCTAAACCATATGCTCTAGAGAATCGGTTTATGAGACATTAGATAAATCATAGAGTTACAGCGTTATAAAAACAGATTTTTCAGTATGCTTCCGGCCCTATTACAGCTAACCGTCTCGCTTAAGTAGTTGCAAATTTATTCTTTTGAGATAGATATATTACGGAATGAAACCATTATAAAATGAAGTATTAGTACTACCCGAAAGACATTATATTATGGACCCCCACATTCTATTTCAGAGATATATAATCCATACTCTAAATTTCGTGCCCAGCAGGCTTGAAGCTTTCGTTTTGAATGATTTCTATCAGCTATATGTGTTGTTAGTAATCATAGTGCGTTAGATAGATAGACAGCTATTGTATTTCAGCAATAACATCCGAAAAGCACTTACATATTCATCTGGGTCATAAATAAACGCTATGCGGAAGGGGCCATCCATCAATCGCTTCTGCCATGAGACACCCATTTCTTCAAATCGCTTACAAGCAGCCACTATGTCGTCGACTGATACACAAATGTGACCGAGGCCTTCTGTACCTTTGTTACCATTATCGTACACCACGCCTTGTTTCTTCCCTGTTTCACGGTTCCAGGTCAGCTCCAACAATCCCTCATGCTTCCTCCGAGAGTCGGTTCCATGAACATTATCGTATGTAACAGGTGAGCCATAACCAAGTAAATAGTTATCAAAAAGAGCGTCAGGACTATTAGAGGTATATTCCAGTGTCATCCCCAAAACATCCTGGTAGAATTTGAGCGAGACGTCTTTGTCTTTGATATGCAACATGGTATGGTTCATCTTGTAACTCTGGACGTCTGTCCCATTTTCAGATTCATGGATGGGATTTTGCGAAACGAGCTTGACCCTATACTCGTCCGGATCGAAGATGAATGCGGAACCGTCTTGAAGCATCTCCTGAGACTTGTATCCGGCATTGGACATTTCCCTGCAGGCAGATTGAACATTGTCAACAGACAAACAGATGTGGCCGAAGCCTTTCGGATGCTGGTTCTCCTCATGCGTATCTCCAACACTGTAATCGTAACTCAATTCTATGACACCCCCGCGGTCACTCGTGTGCTTACCCTGAGAGACGGACTTGGGAGAATCTAGACAAGAGTCAATATTGGCAACAGCAAGACCATAGAGCAGAAATCGGATAATTACCGTAGGCGAGAAAATAGAGCTCTAATTTGTATTCAGGGAATTGGAACTTCTGCAACACGCTCATGCCAAGTCTCTCATAAAACGCGACACTTGCTGAAGGATCTGTTAATTGATTAGTGACTATAAATTGGTGTAATGGCCACGTGCATACCCTTGATCCTGAGCATAGAATGATTAAGCTTATACTTGGTAAGGTCCGTCATGATCATTAAGCTCCAGATGATTTCGCAATGGTTTATTTTGGAATCACCGAATTCCTTGAATGGATGGTCTATTTCGCATGTGGTTGAACTTATTTTAGAGTTAGAGTTTAATCACATGACTAAGAAGGATATAAACCCATGTGAATTTCGGGTTACTGGATTTTAAATCTAAAGTTTTATGTTTGGTTGAAGAGGGGAAATTCCCATATCTTATGCATGGGTGGGGTGGGGTTTTTGAGCGGCTTATTCACGGACCCCTACCAGTCCACACCCTCCGCACCCTTCTGCACATGATTACTGATTAGCCATATGCAAGTCCCACTATTGTAGGTAATGTTCAAGTATGCTTGGCTTTAGTTCTCACATACAGCAAGTCGGAATTCTCAAACTTTGTCTTCTCGCAGAAATCCTGTCACTACGAGACCTCATGCTCATTGTGAATATGAAATGGGTCCTGTCAACAATCAAAAACGTTTATTTCTACCCGATGCTATCTCTATATACGTCCAATTCGTGATCATTGGAAGTATTCTATACGGAGTGTGCTATGTCTGGAAGACTTTGAATTCGGAACGCCGCCTGTCGGGCTTCGCGGTCGCGACACTCGCTGAAGAGGGTCTGGGGCCGAAAGAGAGTTATCTCAAAGACTCCAATAAAACCATTGCTGCAGGACTGAAGTCGAACTCTGGACCATTCCAAATTATTACTGGTACTGGGCCTAAACTCGTCTTACAGAACAGGTTCGCCGATGAGCTACGAAACCGATCAGAGCTGGACTTCAATGAAGCCTTTCGCAAGGACTTTTTCGCTCATTATCCCGGCTTCGATGGCTTTCGCGCGAGCTTGGACAATCCTACGCTGATTCCGTCGACTCTTCGAATCAAGATGACGCAGAGTTTGGGGCTTGTCACAAATCATCTTGTCGATGAGGCTACAGCCGCTCTTCATGAGCTTTATGGCGAGAATCGAGAATGGCATTCCATTGCGGTGAAACAGCATAACCTCAACTTCATTGCACGCCTTTCGTCGCGAGTCTTTCTGGGCAGACCGATCTGTCGCAACGAGAAATGGATAGAAATTGCAAAGAATCACACTGGTCGGTCGTCGATAATTACATTTAGCAGTATCTGGATACATTACTGACTGGCCTGCAGTTGACTCGTTCTTGGCCGCTCGTGATCTTCGTGCGCAACCCTTCTTTTTGCGTCGTATCAAGCATTACTTCATGCCGCACAATAAGAATATCCGTAAGGACTGTTCTCTAAAGTTGTCTCCTCCATTGTTACTTACAAGAACTCCAGAACGGCATTATGCCGATGCCAAGCAGATCATCAATACCGAGGTAGAGAGGAGGAAGATTCGAGCCCAAATAATTCTGGCTTCGGGTGGCAAGCCGGCAAAGGTATCAGACGCCATCGGGTGGATGGTCGAGATGGCTGGTGGAAAGGAAGTGGATTATGTCGCGGCTCAGCTCTCTCTTACCGTTGCCTCAATCCATGCCACGACAGAAGCACTGACATCAGCCCTATTGGATCTTGTGACTTATCCCGAAATCATTCCCTCACTTCGTCAAGAGATCATTGAGGCATTGAGTACAGGAGGGTGGTCCAAGCAAGCGCTGTTCAAGATGAAGCTAATGGACAGCTTCTTGAAGGAGTCGCAACGACTGCATCCGGTGAGATCTGCTGTTTGGTTGCAAAGGAGCTATGCTAAATTATTGATGATATCTTTTGACAGCCTAGTGATGGTGAGAATGATTTACCACGGGCCTATATGGTTGATTTATGATGCTAACACTATCTCAGTCTCCATGAATAGAAAGGTTATGCGTCGCGTAACTCTTTCCGACGGCACTGTCCTACCGGTAGGTGCTCGTCTCATGGTCGCGGGAGGATTCCGAGACCCTAAGATCTATGAAAATCCCGACAAATTTGACGCCCACCGGTTTTTCAAGCTACGGGAAGAAAACCCCAACGGTGCTTATCAATATGTTTCCACCTCGGGGGATATGTTTGGTTTCGGTATGGCCTGACTAGACTCTACCCTTTTACCTGCAGTGTCAATCTGGTAAGGTTCTAATATTGACAAATCTCATAGGACACGGCAACCATGCATGTCCGGGACGGTTCCTTGCTAGCAGCGAGCTGAAGATTGCCCTAGCACACATGATTCTGAAATACGATTGGAAACTCGACCAAGAAGACACGATGCCGAAGTTCTTTCAAAATGAGACGGCCCACATGACTAACCCAGGCATGAAACTCATGATGAGGAGGAGAACCGAGGAGATCGACCTTGATCTGAAGGTGGATCCAGATCTGATTGACGTCAAAGAATAGATCAGTTCCGTGCATGGTACAATCTCAGGGATGGGCTAGATTATGATAGAAGTTTGCCCTCATAACCATAGATCACAAATATCTTGCCAAAGATGTGCTGATTTTATATTCTGTAAAGGCTACATATATTTACTATAGAGATTGCTTCTGGCTTACTTTTGTTTATAAATTTTACGTTGCAGCTTCCTTGGTCGGCGTTCAGATGTGCCGCAGTGGGTTCTCTGAATTACCCGCTCTAAAAGCTCGGACCACCCGTTAAGCGAGGGTAAAGGGGTTTCATTTACCGAATACCCCGATCGATTGAACGTTTGTATGGATCTTAAAACTTTTACCTATTTAATAATTAGCATTGTATATATTTTATCCACAAACCACAGACAAGAAAACCTTCACAGGTGACCAACCCTTTCAAAGAGTTTTGTCTTTCTTTAAAATGAATTAGTGTACAACAATGGATAGTCAAGATCTATCATAATCACGTCCGGTAGCAATTGGAAGGGAGGATAGTTGATTTGTTAAAAGTCAAAAGTCTACATCATATACAGGTATAAGCGAGGTGCGAAGGGTGTAAGATGTGCCAAAGGTGTAAAGATGTGCAACGTATCTGGGAAGTGATCAGCTGCCTTATTGTGGTTTCGACTAATGACTCTTGTGTTAGTCTCGTACCTGTATAATTCAAACTGCTTTGAAAATCATATCGGTCGGAACGAAGATCACATATCCATTCCAAGGAAATATTAAAGTGACTCTCCTCGCTCCAACCTTGCAGCATAAAGTTCCTCTTGGTTTGAAATCAACTAGGTCGACTTTCATCAGCGAGAAGCTATGGCGGAAATCATTAACGACATGACGAAGGCCGCCTTTGGCTTCATTGCTATCCACATCGCTCTGCTTCATTTCCTATACCCCAACGAGAACTCCTCTTCCAATACCGTCCAAACTCAGGCTGGGGCATCGTTGGGTTATTTACTTTACTCAACTAGACCTTTCCGAAGCTTTCGTACGTTACCTCCTACCAGTATCAAAAACTGAGTCCCTGATCAGGCGTGCTGGACTTACAATTACTAGATTGACAATTAATCACGATTTTGGAGAATACGAGAGGGAGGTCGGCCATCGGCCGGGGAACCGAGTGAACGCACCAGAACGGTTTGAGGGACACTTGTTTCGACGACTCTATTCTATACATTTGAAAGCTCTCTTCTACTCCCGCTGTTGCTGAAGCCGAGCGGATCTCATAATTTGGTATCTGAAGGTTTCTTGCACATGAGGTGTGCTGTCGTTACCAATAAACCATACAAAAACTGCTCTCGAAACCATGCAGCTGGTATTGCGAACACGCTGTTATGTGGTCGTCAATGGGTCTTGCCTCAGGGCACGCATGGCGAGCTGATTGCTCATTGGAATAAGACCATACCAAGTTACCCGTGGGGGGTAGTCAGCGCTACGATAAATACCTTAGTGTTGTGAGGGGCTCGGGATAAGACTTTCGTTCCGTTTATTGTAAGCAAGCAAGTTTATTGTCGTTAAAGTTTTGCTAGGGGTGAAGGTAGTCATTATTTGCAGAGGCAGGGACAGTTTAGAACAGCAGAGACTATAATACAGGATTGATTATATGGTAATCTTTTTGTGTGGGCGTGAGGTAGCCTGCTTACTGTTTTCAATATTGCTTAATAACAAACCCTTTGTTGCAGATGGCCCCACATCTCGGGCGATCGGAATGTACACATTGAATTTGGCTTGTGGATGCTCAGTTTGTATCTTATCATGCATCAAATCTGGATATTTTGGAGATACCCAACGAAGATTGACGCTATGTGCTGACTGTGATGCCAAGTACGAAGGTACCTCGGTTAAGTATTGTCACCCCTGCCCCTGATTGCACCCTTGCCCCCCACGCACAAATTTCTAGTTAGTATTACTTGAGTAAACCACATTCAAAACGCGTCGTACAGAAACTGCAAGTATTCTTAAATGGTTCCCCATCATCGTCTCTTTTATGAGCAATCTTTATAATATTGTTATTGCGGTACAAACCCTTAAAGGTAAGTGACAGGGATAACAATACTTAAACCGCTGTACCTCGGTACAGGCGCATTAAAGGCAAGCGAGATCCATAGTGTAAAGAGTGTAGGGGGTGTAAGAAGTGTAAGAAGTGTAGGGGGTGTCAGGAGTGTAAGAGGTGTGAGAGGTGTGAGAGATGGGGTTCTCTTCTGTAAGCCTAGGAGAGGTATACTTGGTTCTGTTTTAGTTTTGTTCTAACCGCACTTTTAGATTACTAGAAAGTAGGTAGTACTACTAGAGTTTCTTAGTATGTGTGTTTTATTCATTGTAAATCTATGCTCCTACCTAATTATGTTCTCTCTTATTTTTACTTTTACTTGCTGTATACTTTGTAATTAAGTTGCTAATAATTGACCTATAGAATAGACGTAGATCTTTTAAGTGGCTCTGAATCTAGCCTGCCTTCCGTATCGGGAAATCATGCGAGCGGGTAAAGCTGCAGAAGAGATAAGATAAGATAAGATCTGCATGATCACGTACATTATCTACGTAGCAGCAAACCTGGTTAATACCATTGAGCTTAAAAGCCTACAGAAACCAAAGACTAGGGCCCAGATTAGACCTACACCTACTAGCTCTACGCCCTAGTATTTACATTTACTCCTATAGGTCAAAGAGTGCCATTCGAATAATACTAAATCGAACAGTTTAGAGGATTTCGTCTGACATAGGCTCTGCATATTACATTACCTCGTCATGCAAAATGGCCGGATTTCAGCATAAATTCTATATTCAAGTGGCCATTTAGTTTTATCCTTGAGGGTTTCTGATACTAAGAACCTCTCTTTACTACAGATAAGGCCTTCGAAGCCCAGACTTCGTTGACCTTTAGAAGGAAGATATATTCACCTGCGTCTTTTCTTCAAACTCACTTCTCCTGGTCGTTCGCTATTGTATTTTGCCCGTCATGTTTACGCCAAAACCGCAACTGACATCCGAGCAATCTCTCGACGCCCCCAGCCCTCCCGTGGTCACCATTCCTCGTGAGATTCGACGTTCCATCAAGGTCAACGAGTTCTATAGCAAAGCCTTGGACGAACACGGACCAGTCATCGTTGTACCTAGACACGGCCGCAATGAATATGTCATTGATCATCGATACGCCCATCAGGTTCTCACCGACACCACTAATTTCACCTTTGAGAAGGCCGTTTTCGAATTGCTGCACCTCGGCTTCCTGGCGCTCTTCGACAATGGTGCTTTCGTTCACGATGTCGACAATCTGGTGGAGATGAATGTCCAACCACGCATGAATGCCATGATCGACCAGTTGTTCCCCGTCTTTAGGGATTATTTTCAACGTTTGGCGGACGAGCTACCAGCTAACAGCAAGACATATACCGAGTTTCCAGACATCTTCCATAGCATACAGCTTGCCGTTGGCCATGCCATGGTCGTCATGATTCTAGGACAAGAACATGCTTCCTCGGTCGTCGCAGCTCACTTTGCTGCGGTAGCTGTTGCAATGGCCAACATGACGGGCATGCACGAGAATACGGACGAATGGATCCGGCTGCCGTGGTTATGGGTCATCATCAATGGATTTTCAGCCGTATTCTTCACCATCATCCCGAGATTCTTCTTCCAGGTGGTGCCCATACTGTGGAAAGCACGGCATGAGCATCTTCAAAACGGCCTGGCAAAGCGTCACGGCGAATTTGTTCCCCTCTTTGATATTCTGCTTACCAAACACTACCATGGGAAGACCGGTCTATCAGCACTTGCGGGGTTTTTTCGCTGTCTCATCCTGTGTGTGGGCGTTATTTTCGCTTCCATCCACCAGACTGTGGTTGCTGGCTCATGGATCCTGGTCAAGCTGGCGCAGAAGCAGGATGAGTACCTGCCTGCCATCCGCCAAGAATGGGAGTCAGTCAATCCGTCAGGCGAGAACCTCAATGTCAAGAAGCTTAGCCAGCTTACGCTGCTCGACTCCTTCATCCGTGAGGTCCTGCGCACCAAAGGTGACACCTGGGGTCCGGTTCGACAGACAACACAACCAGTCCGTGTCGGTCCCTACTTGCTGCCGAAGAATGCCATGTGCATTGTTCTTATCTCTCGTGCACATCAGCATCCGGATAATTACGGCGATTCAGGTACTGTCTTCGATGGCTTCCAGTGGCAGAAAAAAGAGCGAGCCGCGGTGCAAGGCAATCCCGAATTTCTGACCTTTGGACTGGGCCGGTGGGCCTGCCCTGGCCGCCAGCTGGCTATTCACGAGATCAAAATTGTGATCTACATGTTCTTCTCACTGTTCGACATCAAACTCAAGGCCAACACTTTCCATATTCGAAACACTATCAATACTACCTCGGTTGCGCCAGAAGCTACCTTGCTGCTGCGGCGAAGATAGGATATGCCTTTCAGCGAGTTAGACGTCCTGGAGAAGGGTCACTTGTGAAGCTTTATTCACTTCCGCTTTTGATTTAGGGCAGAGATCCACATGTGCGAAGAGCTAGATAGAATATACGTTCAAGCCTGTTAGCACTCGTTTGAGAGAAAACCGAGGAGTATGGAGCCCGAACATGTCTTGCTTGTTGGGTTTAGATGAAGTTTATCATTCAGTTGGCATATACATAGGAAATGCAACGATTGACATGTATATTGTAATATTTCATTACGCGTCTCCGGGGATGTACGAAGTTACATGCTGCCGGTTCCAATATCCGGCACATACTTATTCTAGCAATGAACCAATGTCATGATTTATTCCTAATCAGATCATATCACAGACAAAATGGGTTTCTGGTACTCTCAAACCATGAAATGTCTACTACTTTGAAGTATAACAAATCAAATGCAACGTATTACGTAAACTCAAACCACTTGAAATTTGTTGGGCTAATACATCTATGACTTCTAAGCAAATGTGTATATTCTGACATCTAGATGGATGCTCATATAATATCTTGTATTTACTGTAACGGTTCGAACACTGTGTTACAGCCCTCCCATGATGGTTGAAGACTTGTTTACTCGCTTAATTAGGTCACGTGACAAATCACATGCTCGTATTTCCACCTGCATGATATCAATGGATCGTCAAAAACACCTGGCTGTCAGCTTTCGCACATCATGTACGTAAGAACTAATCGTACACCCCTCGCACCCCAACACCTTGTTACTATGTAGCCGGTAAGAAGTGTTTTCCCGTAAAGACTGCAGAAAGATTAATGATCATGCCTGCAGAACCTCCGTCAGCCTACCTTTGCAGGTGAATACGGAGTAGAGATAACGAGCAATGCGATCAATCAGATTGCTGTAATCCCTTGATCGACGGCTGCAGGGGACAATATTTTAGATCCAGCGCGGGTATGCTTCCTACTTTCTTTGCCGTTAAGGGCTGTAGTAAGTGTCGATGGGATCAAAGCTGCATGCGATATAGAGTACAGTTCCTTTGCATTCGACCATGTAGCTGCAGAATCTATATCCGGTCATCGACTGCCCATCCAGCCTTGAGTTTTTTGCTCCTCTTCGTCGTTGCAACCAACTCGACTCAAAAAACAACCATGGGAAACGAAAACCTTGCAAAATGGGGCCCTATCCTGATCGTCGGCGGCTCGGGCCGTTTAGGATACTATATCGCTCAGCAACTTTTGCGGCAACCAGAGTGTGGTCACGTGGTATCAATCAGTCGCAGCAGTCAAATCGCCTATCGGTGTGAGGGAGTTGAGTATCGCGTTGCAGATGTGACCCATAGCGATGCTCTGGGGAAGGTCATGCGTGATGTGGTACCAGAAACCATCATCAATTCGGCAGCACCACCGCATGCCAACGCCAACACACCGACCTCGGAGTTTGAGCAAGTATTTGTGCATGGTCAGGACCTGTTGATGGGGCTGGCCATGCAAGTCGGCACCAAATACATGATCTGCACAACATCGTCCAGTGTCATCGAGGGCTTCAACCACGTCCAGGCCAATGAGACCGCTCCGCTGTGGCCGGAGACGTCGTCCGCCTTCCCTTACTGGGTGCAGCGCGCCAGAGCTGAGAAGCGTCTCCTGGCGGTCGACTCACCATCGTTCCAGACGGTCTCTCTCCGACTGCCACTCATCATTGGCGAGAGAGAATACGCATTTGTGCCAGCGATGTTGAAGACCATGAAGGAGGGCAATACTGGCGTGCAGATAGGGAGTGACGCAGGCCGACTCGCCACCGTTTCGGGAGACGATGCGGCGAGAGCACACATGCTGGCCTTGCGCGCGCTTAGGATGCCGAATAATAATGTCCATGGTGAGGCCTTCTACATCATGGGCAAGACGCCATTGTCATTCTGGACCATGGCACGCATTATCTGGAGCGAGGCGGGATGGAAGCAAGACAAGCCACCGTTTGTGATGGCCGAGTGGGCAGCTAAGACGATGGCTGTGCTTTCTGAAGCAATTTTGTGGCCCTTTGGTGTTGAGCCGCAGCTCACCATGCACACGGTGCGCTTTATGTGTAATACCTGGACTTACGACGGTAGTAAGGCAGAGGAGCGCCTGCAGTATATGCCTATTGATGATGTTGAGGATCAGCTCAGGAAGAGTGTACGATGGCACTTGAAGCACGAAGAAGTTTAATTGTTCGAGTATACCGTAGACATGTCTGTAGTTAATACAAGATACTCACAACGTAAACTCGTCCCTTACGACGCATCTCTTCCAGACCAGAGAGACACAAAGAAAATTTACAATAGAAGTGGATATAAGTAAATACGATAACTGGGTTACTTTGGAGCTCAAATTCTTGGAAACACTCTGTGGTTAGCTACGCGATTTCCTTTGACGGAGAAATGATATAAAAGGTAGGTAGGAATAGCGACTCGTAGCATATAATTTCATTCTTGTTTATTATACTAAAATGGATTAATGAATTTTTCTTAGAAGCTAGCCCTTAGGACTGTTCGCTGCTTAGAAATAGTTCTAATACTCTTCTAGTAATACTCTATTGTAACTCTTAAAGTTATTTCTTTTTTCTAGTTTCTTTTCTTGCCTTTTACTTTAAATAAAAGAGAAGCTTACTAGCTCTAGAGTTCTATTACTATTTTCTTAGATCTAGGTTTATTACTAGTTTACTAGACTGGCTAACGTTTCGACTTTTTCTAGTTTATACTATTTTTAATAGAATTATTCAAGCTATTTGTTTAGTTAAGTTAACCTAGAAATATGAATTTTTATCTAACTTATTAAGTTTCTCTAATATAGAATTCGTTTAAAATTTATCCGAGCTACTAAATTTATATTGGTAGAAGATAAAAAAGATAAAGTCTTTTTGAAATTTACTTAACGTAATATATACTCTTATGATCTTCTAAATTACGGAGGTATAGTAGTTAAGTATTATTACCCCTATATCCCTGTTACTTAACTTCAAGGGTTTGTAATATAATAGTAACTACATAAAAATGGCTCAAAAAAGAGAAGATAATAGAGTAGTATTTAAGAATAATACTAGTTTTAAAACGAAGTTTCTCGAGTACAGTTTGCTTAAGTAATTGTAAGTTGAAAAAAAGTGACAGGGGTACAGGGGTGACAATACTTAACCGCTGTACCTCCGTAGGTATCTCGAGCCTCTTTTAATATTCGAAACTTCTTCCCAAGACCACGTGGCTTTTCTCATGATTACTAGCAGGCAAAAGGGGCTGCGTGAACATCTTTATTGGTTATTACTTTGTTACACATCGAGCTAAACGTAATACCGTCGCTATTCCCACCTTTCTTCCAGTTGTTAACACACTATTTGCCAAGTTTCAGATTCCGACAATGACATTGTATTTAGCTAGGGTTCATTCTAAATATCTAGTCATCTTTTCACACTTTCACCATTTCAATAACACTGTCGTCTACATTGCCATCGTAAAGGCGTGTTGTGGTGACCTTCAGTCCTGCCGCCTCAGCCAAATTGCGCCATTGCTCCTGGGTTCGCTCCACAGCTGCAAATGTGGCCATCACAATCATATCCTGCTGAGTGGCACGGAAATGAGCACCAGTGTCAGGAATGACCATCTCATCGATGAGAATAACGGAGTTGGGAGCTAGAGCAGCTACGGTATTCTTCAGAATCGTGACGCATTTTTCGTCGGGGAAGTCGTGGAGGATGTTACGCATATAATAGATGCGTGCGCCTAAGGTACAAGTCGTCGATTAGTATTCAATTCCTCGCAAAGGAAATAGAAAGGAAGTTGCTCACCAATGATGGCCTGAGGATCGAAGAGATCTTGTGCTAGAATCTGAACATCCGGGTATGCAACGGCTTGTGCAACGGTTTCTGGCGTATCTTCCAAAACGATTCTGATCTTTGGATCAGGGTACTTCTTGCGCAGAGCAATGGACTGAGTCCCAATTCCACCACCAACATCCACAAAGAACACTTGCTCAGGCTCAAGCCCTTCAATCTTATCTTCCAGTGGATAAACTTCAAGCCATGAGCGTTTGCCAGTGTGGTGGACAGACATGTACTGGTTAAAGTGTGCCAGTGTTGTAGGCTTAGTCAGCATCCAGGAGAAGAATGGCAGCTCTGTCTTGTGTGCCTTTTGCAGCGCGGTATTAGTGTTTTCCTCCACATCCTGGTATTTGTGTTCCTTGAGGAAATCCGGCAGAACTGACCACACCGGATAAGTGGTGTAGAAGCTAGATAATTTATCAGATTCTGGTAAAATATGAGGCAACTACGACTGGTTGCACTTACTAATTGTAAAGAGCTCCTTGCGACCCGGGAAGGGCAACGGCCTCGGTGATGTTGTTCGATGTGAAAAGGTCCTTCCCTGTTTCCTTGATAATTCCTACTGAAGCTAAGTAGCGAAGGATACGGGCTATAAAAAGGTCAAAGAGTTAGATTTGGATCTCTAGAACTTAACCGGATACTGGAATAGTTACCTAGGAGGATTGGTGCCGCCCCAGTCTTAGCGCATAAGTCGCTCACAGACACTGGGGTTTTTTCTTTCACCAAAGTTTGGAAAATGTCTAGATCAATTCCAATTCGTATTGCGGTGAGTGGCAATGCCTAGAAGAAGTTGTTAATTCAAGATTACTTGCTAGTAGGTTCCTACGCGAGTCGACTTCCAACGGAAACTCACCAAGTACACCAGTCGTTGTATGGTTTCTGGGGGAGTCTCAATAGAATCAGAAACCTCACGCAACGCGACAAGGATGGCCTTGCGTTGAGTCTCGTCCGCACCCGAAGCCAGACTCTTGATTTGCTTTGTAATGTCTTCCATGGTGCCGTCAATGATGGATGCTCTTTCTGCTATACAATAAGACGTAGTAATGGGGTAACGAATAGTATATAATAAAATTTGAAATTTGAGATTATACCTTTTTACACCCCAAGCACCTTTTGAGAGTGTTTACAACAAGCATACAATCACACCTTCTGCACCCTAAGCACCTGTCTGATGTTTTTAATATGCAGTCTACAAGCACACCTTCTACACCCTGTGCACCTTCCCCATGTTTTTGCCGCGGAATCTACGATCACACCCCTTTCACCCTAAGCACCTCTGCGATGTTTTCACTGTGCAGTCTATGGTTATCCTTATATTCACCTATGTTGTTCGAAGCTTTCGCTAAGCACCAGCCAGTGTCCTTGTTCTTTGCGTATCTTCTTAGCGTATGTTGACCTTGGAGTCTGAGTTGTACGTGAACAAACGTGCAGGATTACAGGTACAGCTAGGGGTATGTCATCACGAATCACAGGCCCTGTATAGGTACGGGTAGTTCAGGGGTTAGGGTTATTTTGGTTGAATTGGTCCAAGCTCCACTCATGTGATCTCCAGGGAGCCAATTGGCTTACGGAGTATATCCTTGACGACTGCCCGCACTCTAAGTTGCTCTGGTAGAAAGCTTTTATAGGCAAAGTAATCAACTGTATCCACTACACTACCTAGTCCAAGAATACGACTGCAGACTGCTTATACTTCATACATATACGCCCCCAAGTCTGTGGTTCACCCTCCCACTCTTATATGTGGTAAGCATTGTACTGCCATGCCGGTTGGCGCCAGAATGTCGTGTGCTAGTGAGCTGGGCACGGCTGCAGAATTAAACCAGGCTGGGAAGCACTTCAAGCAGAAAACAACGAAACTTTTCTGGTGCGACTGGCTGGCTTGCTGGGGGCTGGAAGAAGCCTACGGAGGGTACCTGCTATGACTCGAGGACACGTGACTGACCTCGTCGCCCACGGCCAGTATTGAGGGTCCGACACTGGTTTGAGGAAGGAGGGGGCAAAGGAGGCACCAGATCTTGTTAGATTATACGGAGGCAAGCAAACATTTCTAAGGTAAATGCTGATATATGCAGAGATTATTCTAGCTGTCTAGTTCTCACACGACTGATGCTGCATCAAATCACAGTAAATCCTTTCCAGTCCGGCACAATTGCGTCCATTATCTCCATTTTATACATCGGGAGACCGCCGGAATATATCAGAACTTCCCGTCGCTTACCAGGCACGTTTAGCCTTTATTATTGTTAACACAAGTTCCAGCTCATGAGAAATCGAAAGTTAAACTTACCCAAGGTACCAACTTCCCTCAACATGCTCCCTGAGAGTATAGGCGTGTATGGTGTCGACCTTTTCCCTCCACTTGCGCTCTCCATCGACCGTGGCATCAATTCTAGCCAGGCCTTGTTCTCGCATCTTCCTCATCGTATCGATAATCCAGTGCGCTTGCAACTCACCAATAGCGGGCCCGGTAGCATATGCGGTGGGAGACAATGGACCATAGGTATAGAACATGTTAGGCATACCGGAAATCATGAGGCCAAGATAAGAATGAGTGGCGTCCTTCCACTTCTCCTCAAGCGAGAGTCCATTGAGCCCTGTGATAGATATCTGTCTCAACCCGCCAGTCACGGCATCGTAGCCTGTGGCCAAGATGATGATATCGGCTTCATGGACGGTGCCGTCGGCCGTGACGAGACCATTGGATACTGCCTTTACCACAGGATTGCTCTTCACATCTACCAGAGTGACGTTCGGCTTGTCCATCTGTTCGTAGTAGTCCTGCTCGAGTGCCGTCCGTTTGCCAGCAAACGGATGGGGCGGCTTCAACGGCGCCAGGAGCTCAGCCTTTTCCTTGTCTGCCATTCGCTCGTGCGTCTTGCGGCGCCAGAACTTATACACTTCGTCGTTTCCTTCTTGAGTTCCCAAAATGTTGTTGTAGGAGCAGAAGCACCATTTCAAGCCGCCTTCTCGATAGTCAGCCTCCAATCGAGCCTCTCGCTCCTCGGGTGTATCGTCCATAACTCCGCGAGTTGTTAAATCATAAAGCCACCCTCCCACGTTGGTAAAGCGTTTCTCGCCGAGCCAGTATTTCAGCAGGGGACGCTCTTTCAAGGTCTGTTCCGGCGAAATAATCCTTCGAATCAAGGGCCAAGATAGATTGGGAGTGCGTACAAAACATGTCAGCTGTTTTGCATCGCGGGAGACCTCTTGAGCGATCTGGATCCCGGTTGCTCCAGTGCCGACAACGACCACTTTCTTCTCCCGCAAATCAATATCCTCGGATGGCCAAAGATTCGGGTGAAGAATACGGCCTTGAAAGTTGTTTTGTAAACCCGGCCAGTCAGGGAAATAGGCTTTTGAAGCAAACCCGAGGCAAGGGCAAAAGAACTGGGCAGTGAAAGTAGTTCCTTGGTCTGATTCCAACTGCCACTTCCCGATGGCTTCGTTAAAGGTGGCCGTTGTCAGCCTCTCTCCGTAGACGACATCCCTTGATATGTCGAGAACGCTATCGATATGGCGGAAGTATGCCTTGAGCTCTTCATGTCCAGGATGCTCCTCCGTCCACTTCCAAGTCTCGAAGACTTCGGGTATATTGAGAGAGTACGCGGGGACTGGCGTGTCCGTTCGTGCTCCGGGGTAAGAGTTCCAATACCAAACACCACCAAGACCGTGGCCAGCTTCAACAATCTTCACTCTCAGACCTTCCTTTCGCAATTGATGAAGAAGATAGATGCCTGCAAATCCAGCGCCGACAACGACGGCATCTAAGTCAAAATGAGCCGCACCTGAAACTCTATTTGAGTCGCTGCCAGAAGCATGGTCGTTCAGCCCATTTTGGCCATTGCTGTTGCTATTGGTATGATTGTTGGTGTCGCCGTTTGACAGATGATCAGGCATGGCTGGGCTTAGGTCTCTCTGCGTTGAGGTATATCAGACGCAGCAAAATCAGACCTGGATGCAACAACTATCACGTTAAGGTGTGTGAAAAACGTCTGCAGAATACTCGATTGAGAGCAAGTGCATAAAACATTGGAGTATTAAATTGCTCAGAATCAACCGTAAAACAGATTTTGAAAATGTAGCTGGGAGCCCAGACTTGGAGTGATCCCAGCTACTTTTACCCCAATATTCATTGCTAATGATGTGTAGGCAGATCACTCCCGCGGCCAGGGAATATACCAAAGGCGTTCTTTGGGTGCAGAAACTGCTGGTTGATGGGGTATCCCCATTGCACCGTATACACCCTTCACACCTCTCGCACTTGCTCTTGTTCCTTGTTCCGTCAGCACTGTCCATGCACCTGCTATCACACCCGGATGTAATTGGTGCTGGATAAATTGAAAAGAAAGCTTGTTGTTATCTGCATGCGCTTTGTAACCTTGCCAGCTTTTTGTTGATCCACATGAACTCAAGGTTAATATTTTACAATGTAAATATCTGCTAGTTTCGTCGCTTAATTCTCGTTATCGCATTTGCTGTACAATGGCTAACAATTACTAGGGATAGGCAATGCATGACTCCACACTCTCCACCCCATTTCCAGAAAAGGTCGGCCGAACGCAAAACGATTACCCGGAAAATCCCAGTAAATCGTCATTGCAGATAGCCTTGAGTTGTACGGTCCAGGACCTCTACTTAGCGCCGTGGGGTATAAAGTACCACAATTCTGAACGCAGGCTATTTAGTCTCCCTTAATCCAAAGGCCTGTCTTCATCTGTCGCTATATTTCCTTCACATTTAGAACATACGGGCAACCTTTGGCTTCCAATTGTCGATTGATCATCAACTTTGAGAGTGATATCACCAACAGCAATGGAGAAGCTACAAGACATCACGGCCACGGTAGAGAACCTCAATGGCTTCACAGTCGGAGTCGTGGGAGCCACACTGCTCCTGCTCGCGATGGGTCGATTGTTATTACCGTCGTATGATAGTCGTGAGCCCCCTCTGGCGCCTCCGGGTATCCCAATCTTTGGGCACATGTTCGGTTTTATGCGCAACAGCTTCGGCTACTATGAGAAGATAAACAAGAAGCTTCAGCATCCCATATTCACAATGCTGATGCCTGGACGCAAGATCTATGTCATCACCAAACCAGACCTTGTTGCGCGCGTGGACAGACAGAATAAGTCCTTCTCCTTCGCGCCCATAGTATCAGAGTTCAGCAGCGTCACCTGCGGCACCAGCAAGGCGGCGAACCAGATCCTGAACCAGAATCTGCTAGGCGAGCACGGCAACTGGGGCTTGTGCGAGGATATGGTTGTTGGGATGCGAGAGTCCCTGAAGCCGGGAGAGAATCTCGACAAGATGAACATCATCATGGCCAAGGAAGTCTGCAGATCACTTGATCAGACCAAGCCCGAGGAAGGGAAAGACACTCGCGTTATCCAATTGTCGGCCTGGGTTGCTCACGTTGTGACCATGGCGACGACGAAATCGGTCTATGGTCCAAATAACCCATACGAGCGAGGGGACATCCGGGACGCTTTCTGGGAGTTTGAGAAGGGCATCATGAAGATGCTCGTAGCGCCGTTCCCTGAATATACGGCCAGGGAGTCGATCAAAGCCCGCAATAAGGTAACTAAAGTGTTGGCGGACTATTATGCTAACGGTCATCACGAACAAGCCTCAGCTTTGGCCAAGTCAAGATACGACTACTCCGTCAAGAACAACGTACCACTTGAAGATATCGGCCGCTTTGAAATTGGAGGCACGATTGCAATCTTGGTCAACACGCTTCCATCTTGCTACTGGATGTTACTGCTGGTCCATACCACCCCGGGATTACTGGAGGAGCTGCGCGCAGAAGTAGACTCGGCATTAATCATCGACAAAGAAACAAACAAGGCCACCATCGATATCACTGCTATTAAGAACGACTGCCACCTGCTTTCTTCCACCCTGAAGGAGAGTCTGCGCTTCCGAGGCATGGGAACGGCTGTCCGGATCGTCGTGCAGGACGCAGACGTTGGAGGCTATTTGCTCAAGAAAGGCTCGATGGTGCAAATTCCTCTTCAGGTACTTCACCACGACCGGGAAAACTGGGGCGCAGAGGCCGAGTCATTCGACCCGTACCGCTTCGTCAAAGGAGCAGGAAAGAAGCTGCCAGATGAGGCCGGCTATCGGAGCTGGGGTGGCGGCAAGCATCTGTGCCCAGGCAGATTCTTTGCCACAAATGAGATTCTCGCCGTCGTTGCTCTTTTCATATCTCGATATGAAATGCGACCGGTTGGCGGCGGCGACTGGGTGATACCAACCACGGCCAACAGCAACGCAGCGACCCAAGTGGCGCAGGCCGATTTTGAAATGGATATGGAGGTAAGGAACAGGGTTGGGTTTGAAAATTATACCTGGAATGTTGAGCTTCGCAAGGCGTAGATAGCTGCTGTGTTGGCGGAGAGAGGAGGATTGAGGTATGGTTGAATCATCATAATACAATTCCTTTTATACACTTCATAACTGGTTACGTTAGTGATCATGAATATCTTTCATGAATCTGAGACTCTTTATGAAGATTCTAGAGATAATAGTGGGCTCTTTGTGTGAAAACTCCTGGCGTGTAAATACAAACCAGAGCTGGGTGATTTTTGGATCTTGTTGCGTGCTATATATATCTATGGATGTAAGTGTGTTTTACTCAGTTAGGAATACTTGTTTTCATTAATTTCTGGAACTCCAAATTTCACTTGACCGGGCAGCCAAACAAATTCAGGTCCTTGAGTGGAAGTAGCACCTACTTCACTTTACTCAACTCGTCAAGTATTTAAGTAATTGAGATACATTCAACTCAACTAATCTCAACTCGAGTCGTGATTAAATCTGATAAAATAGTGGATTGTTTTATTCTCACGCTGAGAGGGAGTCAAGAAGCTCCTTGTAGGAAGAAAGTAAGTATTACATTTAGGTTTTTCTGACACTCGGCTAAGGATTGAAATTTAACACACGTCTCGGCTATAGTATTCACGCCAGCTAGTGCTACCAACAGTCTCTTCACTGCAAGCTCAAACTTTTATGATAGGCCAAAAAACGAATTGTTCTTACACTCAATACTAAAGTCTGAATTGATCCCTAAACAATCTTCCTGGGGTGCATACTATAGGGCCAGCTTCACAGGCTTAATGTAGCACTGCTGTGGTGCATGGACAAGCTTATCAATTGCTCCATAACCGCTCAAACCCTTCGGACACTCTTGAAAATCGAAAGCCCAGACCAGCATAGTGAGAAAAAGCCTCATTTCCAAATATGCCATTTTGCGACCATAACAGCCACGTTCTCCAAGGCTGAAGACGAGTAATGGGCCTGCTGATGGCTCAAACACCTTCTGTCCGTCTCGGTCCACGAGCCATCTATCGGGGTCAAAGGCGGCCATATGAGCCGGGTCCCAGTTGCAGGTACTGCTTTTGACGTATGTTGCGCTGCGTGTCGACTCATCAATGACGAAGGGCGACGAGAAGATACTGGGGCCGTTACACATGAAAAAGACCTCGGTATCCTTTGGAACAAAATGGCCTAGGATTTCTGTGTCGACCAAGGACGTGCGGCAGACGGCAGCCTCGGTGAGAGAGACGCGGAATATCTCTTCAACAACGGCATCCCTATAATGTGAAGTAGTATTCACGATTTCCTGGAAAGTTGGATACCTCTTCTCTGCTACTGCTCCCATGTGTGCTGTTCGAAGGGCTTCTCGAAGCTTCGTCTGTACGTCTTGGTTATCGGCCAGAAACTTGAGCGCCCATAGGATCGAAGTGGATGTCGTATCGTGAGCAGCAATTAGAAGGCCGAGGACCTGTGGATTTGGTAAGCCTCTCAACTGCAGCACGAATAGCGAAATCATACCTCGTCATAAACATCCCTGGAGTGGAAGTCCACTTTCCGCCCTTCTTTCTCTGCAAAGATAGCTTCTCGTCGCAGTATGTTATCCACTGCACACCGAACCTCGATCTTGCCAGCCTGTTCTTCGAACCTTTGCCGAGACCGCTGAACCTCCTTTTGAATAAATTCCTCCTTGGTCTTGAAGGCCTTTTTCATATCAGAACCCTGCCTATAAACCCAATGTGCTAATGCAGGCACTGGCGACTTCAGACTTGCGTCTATACTCTGGGTCAGGGTCATGACAGATTGGACTGTCACAGGAGACTCTGCGCGTGGTAGATCTACCTCTGATTCCTTATTGCTAGGAAGTTCAACAGAATTGATGGTTGAATATAGTTTCAATTGCGTCCGCGTTGTATTATTTGATGAGTCTTCTCCGAAAATGATGGACCAGATAGCGTCCAGGGCTCCATAATGAACATCCTGGATGACGGCAAATGGATGTGATTTGGTGACTCTAGCCTTTTGCTCCCAGAGACGAATAACGTCCTTCGCGACGTTATGAATGTGTAATGCGGCAACGTTGTTCAGGAACCCAGGGGTCATAATATCTTGAATTATCCGGCGATGCTGCTTGAATCGAGGAGTCGTTCTCATAAAGATATGGCTTTCAGGCATAACAGCACCAGCAACATCCTTGAACCAGATTGACTTGTCAAATTCTTTTGTGCGACGGATCAGAATGTCTTGAGCCTCTTGGAAGTCTGCAATAACAACCCATGGCTTTGACAGCGGCCGGACAAAGAGTTGAATAATTGGAGATTGAAGTTTTATGTTCTGTTTGACCATCCAAGAATATAGCTCCCGTGTCTTGGTCGTATGCTCTACCAGAGAGGGCGCGTCGCCAAACACTGTCTTCACAGCTTCTGTATTGTAAGGAATCCCGGGTATTGGTTTTGGCAACGCCCATTGGTAGGCTAGGTAGAGGCCGATACTGAGGGTACCAAGCCATACGGCATATACTGTGTAAGAAGCAGATGCATCGTGGCTGAACGAAAGTTGGGAGAGGAAGCGGTCCATTGCTATTGTCTCCTCATTCAAAGTATGTCGTCGACACCGCAATATAGCAGGTGTGTAGCCGAAAAATAGACGGTCACGTGCAAGCTGCTCTTAAAATGGGTGTATTAACTTCGTACATCACGCATTTTCTGGCAAACTCTGATCATTATTTTTTAAACTTGTGCTTCATAATCTTGGAAATTCTACGACGGATTCACTTTCCCCTCAACATGTGTATTCGTAGTTGGGGGGGTTGAATGGTGTTGAGGGTGTTGAGGGTGCTAAGGGTGCTAATGGAGCCGAAGCTGCTTACATCGTAGTGGGGCCCAGTACGTAGTATAACATGCGATTCCGGAGCTCTGTCAAAAACGACTTCTCCCTGTACTTGAAAATAATCCAAGCCATCCACTTTATCCGCGCATCCAATCAACGATCATGGCCACTTCTACATCATTTATCGAATCTGCTGTGATTAACGCGCCAATCTCGGCCATCTGGCCCTTGATCAAATTGGACAAATTTGGCACATTTTATAAGGCAATTCAGAAGAGCGAATTGGTTCCCGCTACGCCCGATGAGAGGGAGACTGTTCGGTGGTACTTTGAGAATAGGACCATTTTGACGCTGAGAGAAGAGGAGTATTCCGTAAGTCAATCAACTACTTTGCTATTCCTTCAGTGGGGAAGTTTACAATTGTCCTCTAGACCATCAAGCACTCCATGTCATTCAACATCATCGCATGCGAACCGTGGGGCCTGCCGTACGCTGGTGCGTTGAGCACTCTGCGGCTTTATCCCATCACTAGTGGCGCTGCTGAGGGCAGTACATACGTGGAATGGCGCGGTCAATATTCAAGTGACGCCAGTGCTGGTAGGTGCCTTCTTGCAAAAGCTCAATATATATTATTAACTTTTTCCCTCAGAGGTGATTGAAGATGCCAAACTGAAGCGTCGCGAGGGACTGACAGATCTTTACGAATTCTTCCGAGAAGGAATAGAAAGCTAGCAGTGTTTTTACAAAGAGCATCCAACTCTTGAATCTTCTTACTATTTCTTATTTAATCAGGGCTTACTTGAAAACAAGTCGTTAAATTTCCTATAATCACTTTATGGGTAGATACAAAAGGCTGTAAATAAACAATCTGACTCTCGGTTAAACTAGTTGGTCACGTGATGGTCCCCAAAGGAATCATCTTCTTTTTCTAATTAATCTTTACCCGATCCATCAATCGTCTTCCTTGTACCGTGAAGGACATATCTTCAACTATTTAGCTTATACTAGAAATACTCATTGAAAAATCAGGTTGTGCCCAAATTAACTTGCAATAACTACAGTATAAACTAGCCTACTGAAATTAAGAAGAAATAGTCAATGTTTGCAAGGGTTTGAAGCCATTTATGAGATACATTGAGTTAAAAAACCTATTACTGAGTACATTTTCAAAGTTACTTGGATTTTTCATTCGTCAAATACTAGAATATGCCCGCAAGCGATTTTCAGTTGCTTTGATTGTGGCCGAAATCTGTGGTGCAACAGCCTCCCAACCATGCGGGAGGCCAGGGTAAAGGTGACACTCCGTACTAATACCAGCTTTTGCGAATCGTAACGCATATTCCAGAACTTCAGCCTTGAGAATGTCTAGTCCACCCACATCAACATATAGCGATGGCAAACCCTGCACGATGGCAACGCGTGCTGGTGAAGCATATTCCGAGACTCCTTCCTCACCGGCTACCTGGTCACTTAATAATGCCGTCCAGCCCGTGACATTATCAGCAGCGTTCCAGAACGCAAGATTGTCCAAGCCATCAATTGGCTTCAGATTTCGGTCGTCGAGCATCGGATAGATGAGCACTTGTTTGGCGAGTGGAGGGCTCAGCTTTCGGTCGCGGGTCATTATGGCCACCGCAGCAGCGAGGCCACCTCCCGCGGACTCTCCAGTAATGCCAATTCTAGCAGGATCGATATTGAACGTAGCTGCATTCTTCTGAAGCCATTCAAGGGCAGCGTAAATGTCCTCGGCAGCCGTAGGGTGCGTATATTCTGGTGCCTTGCGGTACTCGATGGAGAAGAAAGGAATCTGAGTCGTGGCTACCGTGAGCGCAACAGCAATGGAGAACATTTGGGCGCTGCCAGATATAAAACCGCCTCCATGCGCGTGAAGGTAAGCCGCCGTCGCTTTTCCGGACAAGTTTGACTTTTCTGGGGCGATGTGGAAAACGTCAATGTCTGCTCCGTCGTAGGACTTTATCGTCAACTTTTGAATGGATACGCCTTGGGCTTGGGGAATATTGGAGTTGTCGAAAAAGGCCTTCAATCGCTCACGCCGACCTTTAATATCGTGTACTGCGAGGACCGGCTGATTCGCCAAGATCGGGAGCATCGGCTCCAATACCTTGAAATACTCAGGATCGTAGGTTAGAGCCATATTGCGGGGTATTAACGGGATAGAATTGGGTTTCTTTTCAGGCTGGTGGGGAGATGCTCTTATATAATTGCTCAAGCCACTAGCGAGTTGTGTGCTTGCGTTTTCCACCTTCACTTATTCCTTTGGGAGCAGTGCCTAACTTTGACAAACGCCGCCTTACCAAAACCGGCGCCCACTTTTCTGGCCCCCGCTTCTAGTGTACTACTAAATCCGGGCAAAACTTAAGCTAAGTAATACGGAATATCTTATTAGACCGTATTCACATAGAAATTCACTAAATTAGTGTAATATACTTAGAACATATAGACATGTATATCTGCCTAGTATATTATCACGTAATTTCTCCCCCCTACAACTCCAGAGCGCATGTATCGCGACAAATCTTATCCGCTCAAATTATGGTGTCAATTCTTGAGGAACTTTGTATATACTGCAAACCGCACCGTCTAAATCAACAATGTCTTCTGACACTCCTGGATCAGATCCTCCGCCTCAGTATATGTCTTCCCCTGCACCCAAAGACTCTTCCCTCTCACCTTTTCCACCGGTTCCGTCGCAAGAATAGCCACCGCCTGTGCAACATCACCCGGGGTACTAACAGCAATCTCAACCGGAAGATGATTTATAAAAGCCTCCGTCATCCTAGTATGCGTAACCGAAGGCGCAACGAGCGAAATCGAAATATCATTTTCGATACATTCTTTCCTCAGGGAAGTCGCTCGCACCAATCCCAGTATCGCGTGTTTGGAGGTGCAATACATAGCGTGGTCATCAAAGCCCATGTATGACGCCGCCGAGCCCATGACCACGATACGACCACCATTCTTATTCGCAAGCATGTAGCGCATCGCAAGTCGGATATTGTATAAGACGCCGAAGACATTGACGTCCAAGATCTTGGTGGCGGGAGGCTTGAGAAGCTCTGGGTTTGCGGACTCATATTCGTCGATGAGGAAGTCGTATTTTTTGCCGTTGGACGGTACCAGCTCGGGGTTGATACCAGCATTGCAGACCACCAGGTCTATCCGCTTGAAGGTTGAGGCTACATGCTCGAAGAGATGAACTTGATCTGCCCAGGAGGTCACATCGCATCGCACGAAGAAAGCATTCTCGCCGAGCTTCTTCACTGATTCTTTGCCAACTTCGTCGTCGATGTCGGCGATGACTACTTTTGCACCAGCGCTTGTGAATAGCTGCGCAACTGCAAAACCTATGCCCAATGCGCCGCCTGTGACTATGGCAACCTTGCCCGTGGCCCATTTCTGCAAGACTTCAGCGCTTGGGATCGTAAATGCTGAGGCGGCCATTGCGAATGAACAGATCTTGCGATACGGAGGTAGCTAAGTCGAAGGTTTGTATAGAAGTGATGGCTAGGTAATTTGTGAAATCGCTTTGGTTTTGGAGCAAGAAATAATAGAGGCGTAGAAACGTAGTCGTTGAACTGCAGAGATCTTTCATTGGTCAGCGAGATAATTATGCAATCGGCTTAAAGCCAGGTTCTATGCACACAGGTGTTCAAATAGTACTAATTCAGGAGCATGAATACTGCAGTGAATCGAATTTATCAAGTACGCTAGTTTTGGTGTGGAGGGGTAGGTGGGGTAGATAATACTGAAATCATCCATAAGCTACGAGTAGCTGGAAGTCTGCAGCGAAGACCCTCTTTTCCTGCGTGAAGATCGCAACCGAGATTTTTTTGCCAGGGACCCGTAGAAAGCTCACCTCGAAGTCATCCATAAATGAATATTCCCAGCTGCTACCTCTCCACCTTCCACCCCACACAAAAACTGGCGTACATGACAAGTTCGATTTACTTCTGCAGTACAATGTAAGCCGATGACTCGTCTACTCGCTGACAAAAGTGCATGGAGAGACAAGGGTGCTAGGGGTGCGAGGTGTCGAATCAGCTGCAGAAGTCGGGGTACTGTGCTCGGAGAAGCTACCCTATGACATACTCGTGAAATAAGCGACGTCTGAAACTCCAGTAGGCTATAGATGGATTTTGAACCTTCTTTTAGACCAAAATAAATAAAATTCCTTGCGAAACCCGTCTCTTTTTCGACTCTACAAGTGAGGTGTTACTCTACCACATTCCACGCTTGAAGCGGTTATAGCTGATGGCTTTTTTCTTACTCGAGATCTGTGCTACTTTATAAAATTCGAGTGTTTACCTTTGAACAAGGAAGATGGAAGGAAAGGTCACTTCAAATTCAGTTACTGAGTCGGCCGTCATCAATGCGCCGCTGTCTTCGATTTGGCCTCTCCTAAGGCTGACCGAGTTCGAAAAGTTCTACACTGGTATCTTGAAGACTGAGGTATTCCCATCACCAGACGAGGCGGAAAGGAAGACCATACGGTGGACTTTTGATGAGGGGTACACCTTGGATGTGCAGGAGGAGGCATACTCGGTACGTTTGGCGATATCTTCTAATTGAAGTCTGCATTTAACAACGAATAGAATATCAAGCATTCTATGTCTTTTAACATCGTCAAATGCGATCCTTGGGGCCTTCCATATACGAGTGTGTTGAGTGTCATCCGTCTCTATCATATTAGCAGCGGCTCTCATCAGGGGAAAACCTTTGTGCAATGGAGTGGGCATTACTCAAGTGATGCAAGTGCAGGTAAGCTGTCAGGTCTGATTGTGTTTACATATGAAAACCGCTCACTCTTTATTAGAGGTTGTTTTAGATGGACACGTAAAACGTCGGGAGGCACTTGTAGACCTCGCCAAAGCAGTTGAGAAGTGAAGGGGAGATGTAGAAGACGGTTGGGCCACAGTTCTGGTTACTACGGTGCTTGTGGAAGTGTTAGATTACGCTGATTAATGCAGTCGCTCCGTCACGTCCGGATCTGCAAGAAAAGAATCAGGATCGTTAAATTGATATGTGAAATCTACTGATCTATAGGTTCTAAAAGATATTCTAAACAATACTCGAAACAATATTCTAAACAACAATGAAGTATGAAACCGCTCTAAATGACCACCAAATTCCGCACTCAATTGACAGGATTATAGAACCGGAAACGATTGGAAGGATCATACTGGGCTTTGACGCGACGGAGCTTTGCAACTCGCCACGACTCATGACCATACCAATCCTGCACAGTCTCAAAACCACTTGCGTAGTTGACGTACGCATCGGGTCGGCGGGTAGGCTGGCCCGCATTCCAGAGGTCCTGAACTTCTCTCGCCCACTTCAACATCTGATCCTGTTCGTGTTTCGTCGCGTTAGCGGGCAAGTTGCCTTGGAATTGCGTGAGGTGGATGTTATCACGGAAAGGATAGGCAGAGTCGGCCGATTTCATAGCTTTTGAGCCCTCCGTAGAGTAGCCTTCGTGAATAATGAAAGGCCCCGTTGCAAGGCCAGGCTGCTTCGCAATGCGCTTTGTAAATGAGTCGAAGATTTGCTGTTCTGTGGTAAGGTTGAAGACACGCAGACCGGCGGTGGTGATGAGTCGTAGGGTACTGCTGGTACATGCAGGATCGTCGAGCCCAGTAGCCTGAGCATGGGCGAGGCTTGGATAAGGAAGATTGCCAGATTCAACACTGACGGCGGGAATGGCATCAAAAGCTTTGAAGTGCTCAGCGGCCTCCGATTCGGATCCGCGGAATGAAAACTGCCAGGAGATGACTGGTTTCTTGGCGTCAATAGCTGGAAGATATAAGAAGAGACCGTTATTATAAGTCATGTTTACAGGAGTTGTTCCATTGCCGTGAAGAGCGTTTATGGCCGTAAAAGCTTGATTGAGCTTGTCGCCGGTCCAAAGATAGTTCTTGTAGTGCCAGGTAGACGGTCCGCGAGGATAGATGTTCATCTCAAAACTCGTGACAATGCCAAAATTGTGGCCAGCCCCTCGCATTGACCAAAAGAGGTCGGGATGGCTTGTAGCATTGACGCGAACTTCCGTACCGTTGGCGAGCACAACATTTAGCTGGCGGATGTTGTCTGAAACCATTCCATAGAGCCCCTCAAGACGTCCATGACCACCTCCAAGACCAGCGCCAGCGAGACCGACGCAATCACAAGCTCCGGTAGTAACTACGTAGCCTTTGTCCCAGAGATAGGCGTTGACTGGCCCACCACGATTGCCGCCTTGAAGCCAAACAGACTTCCCATCTGGTTGCACGGTGACTTGGGTCAGTTTACTCAGGCCTATCATCACACCGTTGAATCTTCCGAGGGTCGCGGTTGACCCATGACGAGTATTGTACGCCAAGAAGTCAATACCATGTTTGTTGCAGTATTTGATCCGTAAAGATGTTAGTCGTGATCAGGCTAAATAGAGAAGAAGAGACGTACCACTTTAGCAATATCCGATTCGTTGCCCACTTCAACAATCACCGGCACGGTGGGTGCTTCGAAAGTGTCCCATCTATGTGTTGCATTGCGATATGCGGGGTCGTTCGCTCCAAAGATGGAGGTTGACTGGGATAGCTGTGCGCCAAGCTCACGATGTATCTGAACGCTCAGGGTGTTGGCAGAAATGCCGTCACTGCCACGAGGTTGGGTGTGACCAGATGCCAGGGGACCTGCAGCTACACTGCAACACAAGGCAAGACTGGCTGCTAATCCTGTCGAGATCTTCATCTTGTGTATAATATGCTTGCTAAGTCTCTAGTCTATCTAATGAAACAGACACAACGGAGCAGATGATAAAACAGGAGAATAAGAAGAAGATGTAAAATAATGGGATAAAGAAAAAAGAATTTTGAAATGGTACAGTGCACCATGAATTATATAAGACCCTGGCTGTGCCACCGCAGTATGAAACGAAAAAAAAAGGAGTCTGGAGAATCCCGTGAGTTTGCCGTGACAATAGGCTCAGCCGCCCACGGGTGCCTTCTAGAACTCCAAGGTTGGCGGTGATGACTCCGACTACGCCGCACATTTTAGACCCTTGACTGTTTTTAAAAATAGCAGTAATATCTTTGCTTATTTGCTAAGATTTGATATTGTACTGTACTGTCCGTTGTATGTTTACGAATTCTCACATTGGATTATACTTGTTCACTTTAATTTCCAGTATTCTACAAGCTTAGCGAGGAGTGCTTTTGTTTATACAGGCGTACTTGCCCTCTATAGCTAGAAATTAAGTTACTTTTTCACTTATTTCTTGAACTCATTTATTCCACTTACAGTCACTTTACAAAAGTAGCAAGCTGCTCGCGTGGCTACAAGGATATCTCGGATATCTCGGGTATTTTACAGGGTATTCTATGTATAATTTGCTTATTCCCACTTATTCGGGGTTCGCGAAACGTTACTACTTTTGATAAAGACAGTATATCATGATTCCACATATAAAGCCACCCACGTGTCGAGATCTCTGATAGCCGCGATGACTGAGACCATTCAGCCGCATCCTTCAGACAGTACCACGGTTGGCTGAGATGAGTGAGACTATGCCGCCTCTTTATACTCTTTTAAGGCTGGCTGTGATCCTTTGAGACCCCTGGCGGGGATGACTACAACGGCACGGCAATAACGTCGGAGTTATGCTTAACCAGAGCCGGAATTACGACATCAGCAATTAATGACCAATAAGAGAGGCGACGAAATAGAATCTGGAAAGATGCCACGTGGGAAGCGTGCTTATGTAGAGGTGCAGAGGTGTGGGAGGTGTAAAGGTTGCAGAGGTGCAGCGGCATTTATTTTTCCACCTGCGGGTCCGCTTACTGTACATAACGAGGCTTACAGAATGACTGCGCCTCATGAAGAGATTGGACGGATTAGCACAGTGTGAGATGTGGAATGTACCTTCCGTAAATGGGAAGATACGATGATGCATGTCTTGCTGAGGCTCTGTTGCGGGAACTCGCGTACATATACGCTAAGCCTCGCTTAGACATTGGTACAGTAAGCAATATGTGACCCACTTTATGTTGTATTACCTTATTTGGTTGGCGCGGTTGTAACGGCAATAGTGGAGATGTGGATCGGGGATAATGGAGATAAGGTTGTGCCTGAATGTTCTTTCAATGGCTGCAGTTGAGTTCAAAACCATTGATTAGAAGAGATTCTTACTCTTATCAAGACATTATCCGAATATCCCTCCTGCCCAGATCACCCCACTAAGCCTCCAAGGAAAAACAGACACCAGCACAACAACACCACTATCACGATAATTTCGGCACCATGGCAACCTACCTCATCACTGGAGCCAGCCGTGGCCTAGGCTTTGAAATGGTAAAGGCATTGCTGCAGAAGCCTACCAGCGAGGTTTCCACCATCTTCGCCACCATCCGCGGTAACCCTTCTCCGGCTCTGCAGGAAGTCATCGATCAATCTCAGGGTCGTGTGGTCACCGTCAAGCTTGAGGTATCCGACGATGCCAGCATTACCGCCGCCGCAAATGACGTCAAGGAGAAACTGGCTGGCCGTGGTCTCGACGTCCTCATTAACAATGCTGCCATTGCGAGCATGACACCTACCCCTCTAACCGAGGCAAAGACTTTGGAGAATGCATTCAAGGTTAATGTCGATGCTGTCCACAAGATCACCGTGGCATTCCTGCCGCTTCTCAGAGAAGGCACCAAGAAAACAGTGCTCAACGTGTAAGTAGTATATGCAAAGGTTAAGGTACATGATGGCTGATGTTCATGAACAGGAGCTCCATTGTCGGATCCATTACACACACCAAGAAGTTCATGATCTCTCCTGACCATGGCTACCGTATCTCCAAGGCCGCACTCAACTGCTTGACTTCCATCTTCGCCTGTGAATTGGAAGAAGAAGGCTTCACCTTTGTCGCCGTCTCTCCCGGTGTAAGTGTCCTAGTGCTAGTAACCCGTCATGTGTGTTCTAGCTAACCCCAAATCAGTGGTGTCAAACGGACCAAGGTGGCCCATATGCGGACCTCGACGCCAAAACCGGCGCTAAAGCCGTGATCGAGGTCCTCGACAGGGACACCAAGTTGAATGGAAAGTTTGTTAATATCAAGGTAGCCGGCTGGGAGAATGCTTCTGGACTCCACCAGTACAATGGCGCGGATATTGAATGGTAGGAGAAGTGATGAATCCTTCTGCGTTTGTTAGAGTAGAGATTAGTATCGTTGAATTCACGATGTCCTTTTGAAACTAGCCCTTTTACTACTTATAGTCTGTTTCTTGTGAAAAGGTAAAGAATATAGGGATAGATGTTCATAGTAATTGCTTATAATTCTAAATACTTTTATATCAAACTTTTAAGGTTTTAAATATTTCCATTAACTTATATGTTTCGTTTTTGCTTAACGTGCATGTATAGCGAACCGGCCAAAACCCGGCGACCCCACCACACCTCCACGAAATATTAAATTTCTCTACAACGAAGGATGCCTCTGAAAAATGATGAAAGCCGGTTAGTCTTAGCTATCCAAGCTATGCAAAAAGACCCAAATTTACGTGCTCGAGCTGCTGCCAGGACCTATTCTGTAGACCACCGGAAGCTAGGTTGACGTTTGCTTGGTATACCTTCACGACGCGATATTTTAGCCAATTCACGGGAAATGACCGAGCTAGAGGAATCAGTACTTGTTCAACATATCCTCGACCTAGCTACACAAGGATTTCCTCCGCGGATATCTGTAGTTGAAGATATAGCAAATCGACTTCTTGAAGCACGCGACGCGCCACGCGTCGGGACGCGTTGGGCTTATAACTTTGTTAAGCGCCGCCCAGAACTCCAGACACGCTTCCAACGAAAATACGACTATCAGAGAGCTAAGTGCGAAGATCCAGAAGTCATTCGTGGCTGGTTTGAGCGAATGAGGCTGGTTTGAGCTTGTACGAAACACAATAGCGAAGTACGGAATCCACGATGCAGATATCTACAACTTTGACGAGACTGGGTTTATGATGGGCGTTATCTCAACTGCAATGGTTATTACAAGCTCAGAAGGACGTGTAAAAGCAAAAAGAGTACAGCCTGGTAATCGGGAATGGGTTACAGTAATCCAGGGGGTTAATGCCCAAGGCTGGTGTGTTCCACCGTTTCTGATTGTTGCCGCAAAACATCACCTCGCTTCTTGGCACCAAAACAGTGGATTTCCACCTAACTGGGTGATTGCTATTACTGAAAATGGTTGGACAACAAATGAGAAAGGCATGGATTGGATTCGACATTCCACCTAACTGGGTGATTGCTATTACTGAAAATGGTTGGACAACAAATGAGAAAGGCATGGATTGGATTCGACATTTTGAAAAGCATACAAAGTCCCAATCTATTGGTGGTTATCGTCTATTAGTCCTCGACGGCCATGAAAGCCACCACTCCGACGAATTTGAGGAATATTGCAAGGAAAACAACATTATCACTCTTTGTATGCCTGCTCATTCTTCTCATATACTCCAGCCACTCAACGTTGGCTGTTTTCGCCCTTTGAAAAGGGCATATGGTCAGCAAATTGAAGATATGATGCGGGCTTAGATCATCCATATTACTAAGGATGATTTCTTTCCTGCCTTCCACGCCGCATTTAATATTGCAATGACAGAAAGCAATATCCGAGGAGGGTTCCGAGGGGCTGGGCTTCTTCCATTTGACCCAGAAAGTGTAATTTCTACACTTGATCTTAAGCTAAAGACGCCAACGCCTCCAAACTCCCCCCCGTATTCCGCTCAGCCTTGGGTTTCCCAGACACCAAATAACCCTACTGAAGCCTTATCACAGACTGCATTTATTAAAGATCGAATTTTACGCCACCAAAGTAGCTCTCCAACCCCTATTTACGAGGCCATTGACCAGTTTACGAAGGGTGCATCAAAAGTAATGCACCAGATAGTACTATTGAAAGCTGAGAACCAGAGACTTCGACAAGCAAATGAAGTACTAAGTAAGCGCCGTAGAGCTAAAAAAACACGCCTACAGCAAGGAGGATCACTTAGTCAACAGGAAGCGCAGGACCTACAGGATGATAGAGACGTTGGTGAGCAGGTAATGCAGGAAATAAAGAGAAGTAGTGGTCGGAAGCCGAGGGAAGAATCACGTGCACGGCGCTGTGGCAACTGCGGAGAGACTGGTCATAATACGCGCACCTGTAATATTATAGAGGAAGTATCTGAGGAAGAAATTTCTGAATAGTGTTTTTTACTTAGAGGCGTTGTGGTAGAGTTCTTACAATTTCAATCGCGAGTGTAGAAAATTTTGGCCGGTTCGCTTGTTTGGCCGGTTCGCTATACATGCACGTTATATATATATCGTATATATTATAATATACATACAATTCTTTTTATATAGTGCATATCTTTAAATTTGTTAAGCTAAACGGCTCCTTAGTTCCGGATTTTGTTAATCGGGAAAACAGTTCTATATCCCTGTCTTAGAAAAATGAGATGTTTAGAACCTGCTTTTTCTGCCAAACCACACTAAACAAATGAAAACAAAAAATGCATAGATAGCTTGATTTTATTCGCCCTCATACCCTGGGTCCCTTGACCATAAGGCCGCTTTGCTCTTCAAAACATGTATTAAGTCGAATATCCAGAATACACAAAATGCGGCCACTGGGGTGCGGCAATCGCTACAAATCTTTGCATGTACGGTAGTTTACCTGATACCTGGAAGATTGGTAAATTCTGCTACTTCAGCAACATTGACGACTCAGGAACACGCACCATTTTAATTCACGATTGGTGTAAAGACTGCAAGGCACCCCGTTTTTCTGAGTCTTGGCATCGCGCTATGGCGTTGGCCAAACTGGAAGGAAGGCTTGCACCGGTAGATGATAGTTATGAGATAACTAATGCTCAAGTAGCGAAATACAGAAGGTGGGTGGCCGAAGAGAACGCCGAAATGGATCGAAGAAATCTTGTGCGGAGGGAGCAACGAGAGCGACAGCGACGCCGAGCGTCTCAGTTTTAGTGGCCAAGCTTTTGGTAAAGATAATGTCTTTGTTGAGAGTTTGCTATATAAATCAGTGCTCTTTCTTTTTCGCTCGCTTAAATTTTGACTTGTTTTTTTTTTGTTTACTCTCGTTTCACTGCTCAAGAAAATATGTGAACGGAGCTAATAATAACCACTGCAGAATTATCTACTCCTGATTAATGGTTTTATACCTAAACCTATACAACTCCTCTTTTATAATCTTGGAAGTGCAGGTGGTTGTATAGTACTATACAGGCGTGAAGATTTGCAGCACCAGGGGACGTATACCCCGATTTTCGCTGAAAACATACTAAAAACGCCTTACTTTACTAAATTATAATATATCGAATAATAATCTACATGTTCTATAATTAAGGGTTGATAATAAGATAGATAATAGCTTTACCTTATACTACTTAGAATTTTATCAAAAGAGCTACCTCTATTTTCGGCGAAAATCCGGCACTGCGAGTTGAATTCTTGACACCCCCTGGTGGCAGGGTAGCGAAGCCAAAAGGTATGGAGCAGTAAGATCGATTGACTTAAAAGAACCAACGAGTAAGTATAGGTATACTCTGGCTTTCCACAATTTGATGTAACACCCAAGCCCTAAGTTTGCGGTCAAACTTTCAAGGAATACGAGTAATTAAAGGAAAAAGGCGATAAGTGACCCCCACTTACCCCGTCAAATCCATCCCCCACTTTAAACCCCGCAATTTCGGAAATAAGATTTGATTCAAGCTTCTCTTCATCCCCTCTATAACAATCAACATCAAACTATCACCTATAGTAATGCAGCAGAGCAACCAAGATCCCGCTACGAACAGATGCCTAAACTCAATGATTCATTAATAATGTACAACCTCGATCCTCTAAACAACGTGTCATCATCTATGCGATAAGATGCGATTTGTGGTAAATTAGCCTGTGTGGCGTCAGGTGCACCGCCATCTGGGGATTTGCGATCGCCATTTGAGACCGAGAGCTAGCTACCACTTCATTTCCTTTCGATTTCTTTCGCGCATTATTTCCATTTCCATTTTCATTCTTTTCTTGTTGTTTTCTCCCCTCGCAATCTAGCAAGACGATGAAGTCATATTGATTTTGTCTGCTATTTGTTAGGCATTCTCAAATTTGAAGCAGCACCGACAATGGCGGTACTAAGTACCCAGCGACGGAAACCCTTCTTCCGCGTGATTTTTACTCTCATCTGCTTTGTTATTATCGTCTTATTCTTTGGCTTGGAGCCTTCTGATGATAACGTCCCCTATAAACAACGTGGCTTCTCCCATGAAAAATTCTCAAATTTGGGTATGGGAGAGGGGCAATGTTTGCGCACATTTCCTGGGCTAACGAAGGAGATTGATTTGAGTGTCGCGCGGTTGGGCGAAAATGGATTTGAGCTAGAAAAATCAAGTGACGATACGAGTGGCCTAGTAGAAGGCAGGATAAAGAACAATAAGGTAGGAGTATTTTCCGTTCTTACTTCCTATTTTTTCATTGAAGCGCAGGATCTTGAACTTGCAATTTCGACTAAAGTTTGTGCACATTAGTTGTATATTATTTCCGCAGAAAGAAGGCCAAATCGCGACATGCTTTTCGAGAGACAAGCAGTACTCCACTCTTTACATCGAGCGATCCTCACCTCACCCACCCCTCTGCCAGATGCAGTCTTTGCTTTGAGCATAATCGATAGTCCGCGACAGAATGCTTGGTCTTTTTCGCGAAGTAACGATCCAAAGATTCAAGGAAACTATTGGCTTATGCCACACTTCGCGTTTTGGTCCTGGCCTAAAAGATTCATTGGGACAATTGACGAAGCACTTTCGAAAATTGCAGTGGTGGAAAAAGATATGAACTGGCATAGCAAGATTGAGAAGGCGGTATGGAGGGGGACTGTGTGGTTCAACAGTTTGGGAAATACTCAACTGCGACTGAAATTAATCCAAGCAACAAAAGGAAGAGACTGGGCGGATGTACAAGATATGAAGTGGGTCACAAATGGTGTTGATGCAGAGAATGCGATCAGCATTGAGGATTTTTGTAAATACAAATATATCATCTATACCGAGGTATGTCTGACAAACCTTTTGCGCCTGAAAATTACTGTATCTAATGGGAGACTTTAAAAGGGGGTTACATATTCCGGCCGTCTTCCTTTTCACCAAGCATGCAGATCTATCATCCTAACGTCCCCGCCAACATACTTGATGCACACAACCCATTTAATGCGACCCTTGTATTCACATTCCCTCCCCTTCAGTCCCTCATACACATCATCCCTCAAGCCTTCTCCAAACCCAAGGTGGCTAAACTCATACACACCAGAAAATGCGAATGTAATATTCGTACAACCAGATTGGAGCGATCTCGAGCAAACTATTGAGTGGTTACGGAAGCATGATGATGTAGCGAGAGGGATTGCAGAGCGGCAAAGAAACCTTCATGTGGGAGAAGGTGGTATTATCAGCGAGGCTGCGGAAACCTGTTACTGGAGAGCTTTGATAAGAAGATGGGCGGGGGTTGTGAGGGAAAAGAATGGGACGCACTTGGACAGCGATCGAGAAGGTGATGAGAGACAATGGGGGGATGGGATGAGGTGGGAGAGTTTTGTTCTGACTGGGGCAACGGATTGGGCGAGGGTTGTTTGACGAAGGATAGCCAGTGATTTGGGGGATTCAGTGTTTGTCTAGTCCCAGGTGAGAAGTTCTTGTATATCTTTTAGGGACAGGTAAGGATCGGAGTTCTGAGCGGATGATCTTGGGCCAGGGAAATGAATACTACGATGAAGATTATGATTCAGGTCCTGGTTTCTAGATATGGGTGAAGGATGTTATAGAGTAATCACATTTCGCTGGGTAAAATGCAAAGTCTTTCTAGCACCAGCCACAGAAATATTACCTTGCTTGCAATCCCGCGCACTACTGTATGACTACTCTCGATACGTATAGAAGAAAATACCATAGACTTGCAGGGTTCAAACATTGGATCGATTAATGACTTGTGATGTTGTTAAAGAGACTTACCCCCGTAATAAAGGTTAGGTATGACAAAAAGGCACCTTCGTTGAAATGCGTTTTAGTATTCTAAAATAGGGTTAGGGTTAGGGTTAGGGTTAGGGTTAGGGTTAGGGTTAGGGTTAGGGTTAGGGTTAGGGTTAGGGTTAGGGTTAGGGTT